ATAATTTGAAAAAATTTACTATCAAAAATCAAAATTCAATTTAAGTTTGGTACATATCTAATAAATTATTTACATCATAGATCAATGAGAGATGTCCTAGGGTCATTGTTTTCACGATCTCATCAGAGACGAAGTAATCTGCTTGATTTATTGAAAATTGTTGTTTAGTTTTTTCAGGTAATTGTATGAAAATTCACTAATTCTGCTCCAATCTCAAAGAAAAAAGCCTCATTCAATGATAATTTTGAGTCACACAAAAAATTTGAGTAAAGGATTTACTATCCGAAAATGTTTCTATAAGTTAATTGTATAAATTTAAAAAAATAAGTTTCTTTTAAACTTACTTGAGTCATTTGTGTTGTTTTACCCGATCCAGTTTCTCCAACACATATAATAATACTGTTTTCTCTGATAATTTTTAATAAATCTTCTCTAATAGCATAAATTGGTAAAAATTTTCTTTGTTCATCAAGTGTTCTTTTTCTAGCAAATTCTGAAACAGCATCTGTTTTTTCTTGCATATGTTCAGCAAATTTTTGTGATTTTTTATAATCAATATCTTCTGATTGGTCATCTTTTTGATCACGACGTTTTATACCTAATATATTTCCTAATTTAGTACCACCTAACTCAAATTTTTCTTGTGCTAAACGTCGTTCTTTTTGTTCACGATATTTTCGTACTGATTGACAACCTTTACGACAAATAATTGCCATATCAGATGTTGGATCTTTAACAGGAATAACTGGTTCAACTAGAAAATAAAAGAAAACGAAATATTGTATAAATTAAAATTAAAAAAAAAACAAATAGAAACTACAAACATTGTCGAGTAAATTTAATTCGACCATCAAGAAATGGTGGAACAAGATTTGTAACAAGTAAATGTACACGACTTTCATTTTCTTCATCAAAATCTTGTTCATAATTGACTTTTGTTACAACACCACTTTGAATCATTCGATTTGTTTCCCATTTTTCAATATCCTTAAATTAAATAATGAATAATGAAATTAAATAAATAAAGAATATATTTACTTGATTAATTTGTCGTTGTTGTGCAGACATACGTTTTTTCTTTCGTTGTTCTAATGCTTGTTCTTTTTTCTTTGTATATTCTTCACTAACATTAGTCAATGGATTTAATTCATCATCAAGTGCATCTTCATTATTGTACCATTCACGATCAATACGCTAAAAGAAAAAATATTCATGTTTTCTATTAGAAATTTGAAGTAGATTAATTACTCTTTGTTCTTCTTCCCAATTACGTCGATCATCTTCATCAAAATCTTCATGTTTACTTTTACGAAAACTTGGTGTTGGTAATGGTGTATCGTTACGTTTTCTAAATAAATGAAAACAAAATTTTTTTTTTCAATTTCATAAATGAAGAACATCTTATTCTACTACAAGTTGTTACTAATCAATAGTGTTAGCAATACAGCATCTATTGGATTTCACTCTATAGTATTGAGACAAAAATGAAACCTTTATGGATATTTGTTTTAGGTATATAGACAAAGTTCTCAAGGGTTTCCGTGTGATCAATATCAATTTGTAAACTTTTCTTGAAAGTCAAAGACTATCACGAGTTAATCCACATGAATTATGATTATTTTATTTGAAAAGATATATGTATAAAAGAATAAAATATTAAACATACGATCTTTAGGAAGTCGTAAAAAATGCAGCTCAAAGAAATATTTTCCTTGCTGGGGAATGATTACTCAAAAATAGGAAATCTTGTTTTGTATGATTTAGTAAGAAAGTTGAATGTCTTTAATAACAAAGTCTAACTATGTAAATAATTCTGTCATGCTAGATTTTCGTTTTATTGCACCAGAAGATGAAAACTCGATAAAACGATTATAACTGCATGGAACTAGACTATGAATACAAATCGTTTTAGTATTTTTTTGAGCTCTATCAATGATTACATATTATTCAATAGAGAACGACGCATTACATTCGATGATCTTTTCAAGTTTGTTTTAGTCATATAATCTCCGAATATGATCCAATAGACAGGACATAGCCATCTGTATCGATTAAAGTAAACTGAAATTTCGATAATTTATTCAGTAGCTATATGTGTGTAGTATAAATAAAAATTCCCTTATTTTTAAGTTAGCATAAAAGAAAGAAAATGCAATTCTGTAATAACAATTCAATACCATATTAATTGAAATTTCAACTATTGCGTATATTGTCGATAGACTGATGGAAAAATTCTAGGAACTCTTGCCTAATAACAATCATCAATACATTATTTCTTATAAAATATTTTATTCTTACCTATTATAATAATCAGTATCACGATGTTTTCGATAACCTTGACGATTATAATTATCATTCGGTGTTGGATGTTCCCATTGAGATCGTCGTCTATCGGAATCATCATCATCCCATTCTGCTCTTGATGGTGATTCTAAGCAAACAAAAAAAAACCCAATTATTATTATTATTGTTTGTAATTTAGTTTAAAGAATATTATTTTTACCTCGACTACCACGAATATTTGGCGTAGCATATCTATTATCATCATCATCAGCAGCATCTCTTTTATCAATATTTCGATCTATAATGAAATAAAATAGAAAATATTTATAAAAAAAAAACATACGTACGTTGTTTATGCCCTTCTGTTCCATAAGCTAAACCACGTTGCATATGTTTAGGTGCTGATCGAGTTTTTTCATAAAAATCATGATGAGATGAACGTGATGATGATGGAGTTTCAACTCTTTGTTCTCGTAAATGTCTTGATTTTTTACTATGAGAATTATTATTTTCATCATCAATTTCATCAAATGATGATGTTTTAGAACGTTTTGATGATGATGATGATGTTGTTGTTGTTATTGAAGATTGTTGACGACGTTTTTCAGCTGCTAATCTATCAAGACCAAAAGATGATGGAACTTGAGGAACTTTGAAAATAACTTGATCATCTGATGATACAGCTTGAGTTTTCTTTTTTATAATTAAACCACCTTCTTGTTGATCATCAGTACCGGGAAGACGATGAAGATTATTTTGATCGTCGTTTATTTGTGATGACATCTAATAAATAAATAAATAAAAATAAACCACTTTTTTTTATGAATGATATTTTCCTTTATACAATTAAGAAATTTCCGTAATAACTATTTATTTTTCGTCTGAGTTCTTTTTATTGGTGAAACAATAAACAAATACAGAATCTTTTGTTAGATGTCACACAACGACACGAATCTATTATGATTCGAATAAGCAATGCATAATCTTTGTCAAATTAAAATGTATGACACATGAAAAAATTGATTTTATTAGAAGCGAAAAAGTTCTCGTATGATTTCTGGAATAAGTATATTCTATAATGTGTCATGTTGTATGAAAAAAAAAAATAAAACAAACAAATATCTTCACTCGTACCTTTTACTCTGTAATACAAATCATATGAGACTATAATATCTTTCATTATACTTAAGAAGTAATGAAGAAATTCAATTTTTTTAATGAAATTTTTACGATGATGAATTAGTAGCGAAGCCAGAAGGGATTCAGTATTTCCTAAGAAACTTTGAACCATCCTGGTGAGATTTTTGAAAAATGTGTTTTTTTCTTTCTAATACAAAAATATATTAGTCTTGGCAATGAAGCGTTTAAACACATATGTCAGAACCTTGAAAACCTGATTAAAACTTATATTTACTGTATTCTCTTTTCTTCAAAAACACATACGAGTTCTACAAAATATGCTATATGTGTTAAAACGTTTCTTTTTACAGACTCATACATTTTTGTATCAGAAAAAAATACATCTTTCCAAAATCTTGCCACGAGAGCTGTGTCACTCTAGTCTAATATCTTAGCTCTGCGGCTCTGTAGTGAATGCACATTTTTTTTAGTTTAATGGATCTATTTCAAATTAATTACGAAACAACAGAGGCAAAAATCACTTATTTGAGAATATATTTCATACAATTAATTTTTCTTTATTTCACAATCTAAAAAAAAACTTTCACCATGATAATTTTAACTTTACCATCACATGCGCAAAATTATCAACATAACACATGACATAAATCAAAGAAACGCATTTCAAAGGTCATTTTTTTTGTGTGAAGATAAGAATTCTAAGTGCGTCATGAAAAAAAAAAAAGTTATGTTCTTGTCGACCTAGCCATGATATTTTATACTAATAAAAATTAATCAAAATATTGTTCTAAAGAACAGAGAAAAAAAAAAAATATCGTTGAATACGATTCTAAATTTTAAGAATAGATTTTATTCGTTATATTTAAGATATATAAATTGTTAAAATAATTATGACATTTTAAATTATATACTTTTTCATCTTAACTTTGGTTTTTTGTGTAGGTACAATAGATTATTACTTGTCGAAGTTGTCAACTTATTTCTTGTCATAAAAGAAAAGTGTAATGAACTTTTGAATGACAATTCGATATTTTGTTATATGAGATTTAACAATAGATGATAAAAACTGACATATTTCATAGATAATCAATCAAAACAAAAATTCTTTTATAACTAAATGTTAAATTTTCCAAGCAATAAAAAATATATAATGATATAAGTAATTAAGTAACATATATGTAACACTATTTTCTCCAAATGTTTCTCATATTATTTATCATTTTGTTATAATAATGATTAATGATATAGAATATCTTTAGTAAGTATTGTTTTAAGCAAATACTATGTTTAGATAGTTATTAAATTAATGGTAGAATATAACATACAAAGAGTTTAAATTTATTATTGTAATAATAATTGAATATTTTGATAATATCAATATTCGACACTGTTTGTGAGTATGATATTCATTAATGTATTCTTTGTTTTTTTTTTTTTTTGAAGAAATAAATCAGAAAATATTTCATTAATAATAATTATTTATACATGTATAGTAAAAAAAAAAAAAAGGGGGAAGAAAATTTAACTCAAAAAAAGTCAAAAAATAAACCATAGAAGACAAAAAAAAATTTATAATATCACCGAATTGTCATATTTGTTGCAATAGGTATATGTTCATTAGCATCAATAATAACAGTATCAATATTATTGTCAGTTAGACGACGATTATGACTCCAATTATTAAATAAACGATAACCTGTATTTGATGATTCCCCATCATCACTAGTCGATTCAAGCGAATAAGTAAATTGTCTTCGTCTTTGACGTTTTCGTTGAAAATAAACAAAGCCAAGTGCAATACCAACTGAACAAATAATAAGTAATAATCCGAATATAATTATTGTGGTTACAATACCACCACGTATAGTTCGTTTTATGTTTTGGGATGCTATTCTTACGATTGATTCTATTTAAAAGAAAAAAAATTCTTTTTTGTTTTTTTTTTTTACAATTTGTACGGATAAGAAATTTTTCAATACATACTTGTACATCCATATTCATCTGTTCCTTCTGGACATGAATGATAACCATCACAATGATAAGTTTCATCGATACACCATTCATCTTGATTAGGTATTACACAACGATATTGATTTGATTTACATGGTGCTATTTTTAAAAAAAAAAATAAGAAAAATTTATTTTTTTTAATAAATATTTATCATTCACTACCTTTTAATATATTTGTTATTAATATCTCAAATGATTGAATATCAAATTGACATAAACTAAAAATAATTGGTAAATTTAATATATTTGATTTAAGATAAGTTCGATTAGATGATAAATAATTAGAAAATTTTATCAGTTCTATTTGTTTATCATAGATTTTTAATGATGGATGCATTTGTGACATGTTAAGAATATTTATTATTATATGTTCAGATGAATCTGACAGTGATGGTGATTTAACTAATGTTATATTACAACATGTTGAATATGATGAAGGTTTATTATATATGATTGATAATGATGATGATGATAGAGTGAGCGATTCATTACAGAAAGACGTAAATTGAACTAGAAAAAAAAGACAATAAACAGTTAGTTTGTTTTTTTTTTTGTTGTTTACTTGGTAAACTATTTGAATAAATATTTCGAATAAGCACTAGTAACCACCAACACCAAATTTGAATTATTCGAATATTTGTCATTGGTTGAATATATATATATATATATATTTATTTAGCCAAAAAAGAAAATTTTTTTTTTCTCATTCAAATACGTAATACATCATAACTCTAAATGCTACTTCTTGATTGTCAAATCGGCTACCCATGTTTCTCTCGTTCTCGTTTTTCTTACGACCTATAATAAGAAAGAAATACATCGGGTAGATTTTCTTTCTTTCTCTCTTTTTTTTTTTTTTCTTTTTTTCGATGACGATGATGATGAATCAGCATCGAAAATACGAGTCCGACCAAGAAAGAAAAAGAGAACAACGAAGTATGTTGTACGTACATTGCTTTCACCTTCAGCAGTTTCTATACTGTCGTTCTAACATCATCATCATCAACATCACTAGTTATAATGGTGTTAAGATAGAAAGAGAAGAACAAAAAAAAAAAAACGACGACTTACATATAACAGAAAATGCCATTGACGAAACGACCATGAGAAAAATAAGATAGATAAAAAATGAGATACGAATAGCTTGGGGAAAAGGAAAAAAAACAGGAGGACAATAGTAAATTGATGTCTGCACGAAATATTAGATGACCAGCATGATCTAGTAGATTATTGTATCAGCTATAATATATATTTATATACATACCTATTAGCATTTCCTACAGAAAAACTTAATAGGATTATATTCAAAAAAATCTATTTGATGATTGGTTTCTTTTTTAAGAATTTTCAATTGATAATAAAATTTTGTCTTGTATTTTATATTGAATAAACTCAATATCAAATATTACTTTAAGACATTCGTTCAAGAATATAGAATTTAGTTAAAGATATTATATATGTATAACTATATATTGAAAAGGTTAGTCTATTTTTTAATATCATTTATATATATAATAGTAATCTTCTTTCTAAGAGAAAGAGTGCACGAGACAATTGAATATTATACCACAGAGATATGATATGTTCAAATCTGGAAATTGAATCTCGATATGTTTATTTAACAATTCTTATTGAGAAACTTTAAATAAATTCTAATGAAAAAAGAACTTTTTTTTTGTCTGAGATGTAGAATATTTACTAAAAAAAACATTTTATGTTTTATTGACATTTTTTTCAACACTGAAGGATATTTTCTTTTCGTTCACATCTTACTCATTTCGTAACCAATTTTTTCGAATAGTATTTCATTCAAAAGAGCGCAAAAAATCGTACAAGTTGTGATATTTAACGGAGTACGAATACGACATTTAAGGTTTAAAAAACATTTCAAAATCGCACAAAAATTACAAGTTGTAGCCAGTAGGCTATTTGAGTATTGAACAAAAAAACATTTTATGACTCTGTCTTAAACAAAATTTAATTTTCTACAAGATCCACTATAAATTAAATTTAAAAAAAAGTCAGAACGAAGATCAACAATTGAAAATATTATCGGTATCGAAATTTGATTGTTTGACTATCAAAAAACTCATTTTCAAGAAAAATCAATGTGATATTCATAATCAGCATCCAAAATTAAGTTACAACGTATATATCTTTTTGAAAACAATTTCTCATCAAAAATCTCCTCTTATTCTCTAACAGGTGTTATCTCTAGGAATTTTATCTGTAGTCCTCTTCAAGTACATTTTTGACAAGAAATTTGTTTTTTTGAAATAAAACGTAGGTGTCTCAGTTTAATTTGGGAAGTTGATTCAGGATAAGACATTCGTTTGGCTTCAAAAGGAAATTTTTTGATGGTCAAATAATTGAATTTTGACATCATTTTTTCATCGACATTGATGATACTTTGAATTTTTGGTCTTCACTCTGACATGTTCAAAATTTAATTTGTAACGTATCTTGTAGAGAATGAAATTTTGTATGAGATAGAGTCATATAATTTTTGATTGAAAAGACTTTCATTATTAGGAATTTTTCAAAAATTCTCAAAATTCATTTTATTTTCTAATTAGAATTTATTTTTGAAATGTTTCAAGTCATAACTTGTATTATTTACATTGCTTAGACAGGAGAAATATTCTAGTTTGTTCAGTTTTCTTTTCTCCCACAAATGAGACACTCCTCAAACAAATCTATTGTAAGATAATCGAGAAAAGTGAATTTTTTTATAAAATTCTATAACTCGACATAGACTATCGAATAGGAATAGTTAAACTTGAATTTGAACTTTGGCCATATTATGTAAATGTTCGATAGTCTCTTAAAAGGCTAAAATTACAATATAGTTTGCTTGAAGATCTTTATGATTTATTGCACTGACAGAAAGATCATAAAGAAGAGAACATTTTTTTTTGGTAAATAATCATTTATACTCATTTAACTCGTTGTCTTTGATAGGCAGTATGCCTACGATAGAAAAGAAAAATTCGTCTTTAGCTATATAAAAGTGATTAAATCGAGCAAATGTAAATAATTTAAATTTTCTAATTATATTAAAAATTTTTAAGGTTTTTTTTTACATGATTGAGTGCGAATATATAAGACGTGATGGCATCGGAAGATGTTAATTACATGACGGTAATAATTGTTCATTCCAACTAGGTTCTGTTTAGATAAAAATCAGCTGCAATACTTATATGTAGATATTGCTTTTTGTGCTATCTTTCATTACTTAAGTCTCTTGGGACAACGGAGGATGCTATGAAAATATCTAATCATGTGTTTTTTTCAAGAACTATGTCTGTAGTGATGATAAATTTAAAAAAATTAATTGAGGAAACAGTAATAAAATCCAATACGTAGGAATCTGACAATGAGAGTGCCTTCATTGTAGTCGATTTCATTTTCCAGCGAGTGAGTGCAAGTTAAAACATAAATATACAAAGTGATAGAAAAATCCGAGCACTTTCAGTATACGTGATTGTTAAAAAATCGACTAACATATTTTTTTTTTTAGGGTTATAAATTTCAATAGAATATCCAATAGCTTTGCAAATGAGATAAAACTCTACAGGAGAATTATCACTATGATATGTTTAGTCGTTTACTAATTAAAAAATGCTCTTACCTATGATCTCGATAATAGCATTTCATTCGTATGTATGACAATCAGGATCGATAGATTACAGGTTCAATGAATCTTTCACATATTATAGGACATATTAGTGCTATGAAATTTTCCATAGGAGACGAAATAAAAGAGTAATCTTTTTCTTTTTAATATATCTGTACGGAATACAAGAATAGTAACAGATTTTCTTGCTGTTTATTTGAATGAAATTCATACAAATATTGATCTATGATAAAGGCAAACAGTATGTTTCTACTTATATAACTCGAAAAGGAATAATCGATTACCATTGATATTTTGGATGAAAAGTACAAATTCAATAAATAAATAGACTATTGAGGTTTCATTCATAATCAAAAGATTGATCAAATACATTTACGAGAATATCATTTACACTGATCGTATCGATGCAAAATTTGAGCCGATAAACTATTATCGAAGAAAAACGAAAGGATGCTTTGATAGATGAATTCAACTTTTTGAAGAAGTCGAAAAGTGAATAGTTTTTAAAGAACAACAGTACCTAATAGACTTCCTTTATGATCGATATATCGAAAAGAAGAAATATCAAAGAAAAAAGTCAAAAGTCATATGTCAACTAATTGACGAATTTGATGTTATAGAGCTTGATGCTTCTTGTTGAAGTTCTTATAATGATAGAAATACGATATTAATATTAAATCGTTCGTTTTACATCTTTATATATTCGATTTTATTCTTTTTGTACAGTTTTACAAACTATACATTTGTAGAAAAGATATTAATGCTTGTAAAATTCTTACAAGAACATACTAAAAGCAAAAGCATGACGATTAACATAATCTAATTTGAAAAATTGTGTAGTTTCTTTAGCGAAAAATATCTTATTCTTGAACACAATGGTTAATAGGTCAATAAGGACATATATACCAGCCAATCAAAAAATAATATGAAACATGTGGTTCATCTTATATTCAAACAAGAATAGCTAATATTGCCATCTTTCTTATTACATCATAATAATATTTATACATGTATTTTCTTAAATAGACAAATGGCAGATGATATAGACATACTTTTTTAAGGACTTTCTGAAATACAAAGTTGGATATATATATATATAACTAGTCTACTGCTGGTATCAAACTTTGATAGTATATTTTTATTACTTTCTTATGATAATAAATTGCGTCTTGCATAAAATTGATTTAGATTTGAGTATTTAATTGAGCTCCGTATCCGCACGACTAAAGATAGTAATTCGTTTCAGAGTATCTTTCACTTTTTTCTACCATGGTATTTCATGATAAGGAATTTGAATATATCGACAAGTATAGATAGTTTCATTAGTGACGATTAAATCGTGAGAAAAAAACTTTTCATGCTTCCTATCATTCCAGTTTTCGTTGGATGATCAAGAAAACAAAAGTTGATCTTAACATTCAGTCAATGTAAGCATTTGATTGTAATGAACAAATACATCATCAAAAAAATGATTGAAATCTCTGATGACATGTTCAGGTGTTTTTCCAAGAAAAATATGAATATGTTGATATGTGTGCAAATCAATTCTAATAATAAATAAAGATGAAAATCTTTTTCTTCATCGAACAGGTAAATGAATGAGTTTTTAATTAAATCATTTTTTTTTTTAAATAAAATCAAACGAAGTCAAATTGAGAAAAGCAATTTTATTAATATTTTCTTTTGAATCATTGATTAAATGAATTTTTATTTGAGGAAAATAATTTTGATTTAATCTTATGTAAATGACCTTGCGAACAATAAATCGATCTTGTTTTCAATCAATAGATATAATAAATAAGTCGAATATCATTCTTGAATTAATCTCAATCAGAGATTTTTTTGATCAAAGTTCATAAAGATCAAATCAAAGAAAAAAGAAAATCAAGTGAAGAATGCCGAGTAATACCCAATGGATTACTTCTATGACAAAATAAATCAAATGAATGACTTCTTCTGATGAAATCAGATAATTTTAATAATCTATTTTGTTCAACATGATCGAATATTGAGAAGATTTTTCTTTATACAAATAATCAGATTCATCATTTTTCAAATTTATCAACTCCGAATCATTCATGTGTCGATATTCTGTTAGATATTTCATCAAAATATTTTTATCCAATAAGATTTATTATAAAATCGATGATCGAAATTTTCTTCAAGAATATCTCAAAAACAAAACTCTTCGACAATATCGATAATGCATACATATTAATGACTTAGTGTATTTTTCACACATCATTTACAATTATTATTATGATACTCTTTTGTTTGATCATCTCCAAAAAATTCTTTATAAAATTATACTTGTCAAATCAATGCATTCGTTATCATATAAGTATCATCAGAAAGAAGATATTTTGTTTCATTAAGTTCATACTGATTCCATTGAAACATACGATGAAAATATATGTTCAATGCATGGATTCGATAATCACAATAACGAATTGATAATAATAATTTTATATTATTTTAGGTTTTGATGAAAATATAAAGGAAATTGTATGAGAATGATCAAGATAAATTAAAACTATCAAATGACATAAAGAAATCTATGTTCTGTACTATGATTAAAAAAAAGATTATTTTATGATAGTAGATCAACACATAAGCGTCCGACGCTTGAGCTTAACATAAGAAACAAATTTTAAAAAATACAAGAAAAATAGTTTTAGTTGAATAAGACCACATTCGCAATAAAAATTAAACACAGCTCTTTCTCATTTAAAGTACGGGTCTCTTATTATCAAATGAGAAGTCAAAATTAGTTGTTGTAATTTTTCATCAAGAAGTTCATATTTAACATGTTTCTTTAGTTTTACAAATCTAACTTACAAATATTCAATCATTATTAAGTTCTCATGTTGTTCCATTTTCAAATTTTAGATAGATTCATAAATTGATGGACTTTCTCGTGTTGAATTCTAAACAGAAACGGATGAGCTATTATATCAAGGGTGAGTATGTCTATGGAAGTGCATGTGAGTCAAGAGAAAACGAACATCCACACCTATTCCATAAACTAAAGAAACGTATTAAGTGTATGACCTTCTTGATGAAAAATTACAACAAGTGATTTCGAATATTTGTTTGATAACAAGAGATCCGCACTTTAGACAAGCAAGAGCACTGTGTTCAATTTTTGATATGCCTGTGAACTTATTCAACTAAAACTATTTTCTTGTATTGCTTTAATTTATTCCATACATTAGGCTCAAGTGTCGAGAGCTCATCTTCCATGTCACCATTTATGATAATGAAAGACTGTTTAAATGTGAATTTCTGATTAATTCATTGTTTATCATTAGATCTATCTAATTAAAAGATTAAAAGTTCTATGAAATTTGTTTAAAAAAAATTTTTTGAATGCATTACTAATACTTTGACAAGGATTTCACTCCATTCTGGAGATAAATCATTTTGTTAGTCTTAATTATATTCATCTATGAAGTGTATCATTTTTCTGTTTAGTGAATACTATCAATTCAAATAAGTAATGAGAACACTAATTGCATGATTTTATTTTTTATATCCTTTTGAAGGTATTTTTCGATTTTATTTATCCTTGTGAGTATAGAGTATTATATATACACATATAACCGATTAAGAACACTGATATATATTGTAAATACATTTACCTTGATTAATATTGGACCGCAATAATAACAACAACATCAAACATTGATATAAGAAGGAAGAAAAAAAAACCGATGCTTACTATAAAACAAATTCGAAATCGTCTTTGACGAATTGATAGTGAATACGGGTGATAAAATCAGACTAGTATATAAACAATACTAACATTTTGTATCATGCTAACATTGTCTTTTATATTTTCTTCATCAGATAAAACTAATTATTATCATCGATTATAAATATCTATACATGTGAGTCTTCACCTTATACATCATATATACAAAATGTGTCATGAAAAAAAAGGTATTCTATTGAACATCATTTGAATAAGAAAGTTATCAAAAAAAAATCAATAATGAATATTATTTGAATAACAATAAGTATGTCGACTAATATTATTCTTTAGTTCTTCAATAGTAACGATAAACAGATAATAAAACTAAATTTTGTGTAATAATTAATCTGTCTATCAAGGTTTATATTCTTCATTGTGCTATTACAAATTTCACTTATTAATCCTTATGGAATACATCATTTGAAAGTATAATAGAAGAAAATCATTATTAATGAGAACATCTATATAGCAGGAGACAATATGTTTTTTTATAATATTCATTCAATTGTATTTCGACAGTATCTAACAAAATATTTATAAATAATAGGACTTAATTTTATTATTAAATTATTCTAACTGAATATCAACCTAGATAGTTTCGTATGCAGTAGAATTTTTCTTATTTAAAATTTATTATTATATTTGAAGATGTTGTATAGATAAATTGAAACGTTAATAGATGGACAATATTACTATATGAAGAACTGTTTTGATCATGTAAAACCAGTTAATTATTCTATTCTGTCTTTCCTTCATTTTTTTTTTTCATTTTTTCTCTTAGAATCAATCAACCATATCCAACTCATTGAGAAATAGGAGCATTTAATGTATACATTACCTTCATGATGTTTGTCTTTTCGATTCTTTTTTGTATTAAATAAGATAAAATAATTGTTAAAATTTTCATATATAAAACATGTGGAATATAACAATACAAAAAATTTTATCAAAATCTATAGGCTATTTTGGTGTATTTATCTTTTTTTCATTTACTACTTATGTTGTCTTTATTTGTTATTCAATAATTGCACCAGCAATATTTGAACATAGACAATATGGAAAATTTTTATTTCATTTTATTTTTGGTAATTGGCTTATTATTAATATTTATTTTAATTATATTATGGCATGGCTTACATCACCTGGTCTTGCTAAAGATTATCAAGATTTGACAGTACAGTATCGGAATATATTCAAATATATTTGGGCATATAAACAAAATTACAAAAAGAGAGAAGAGAAAAAGTATATTAAATTATATATGAATAGTTCAACCTGTATGTAAGAAATGTTCATGTAATAAACCACCTCGAACTCATCATTGTAGTTGGTGTAATTTGTGTGTATTACGATTTGATCATCATTGTCCATGTAAGATATTATGAATTTAAGAAAAAAAAATCTATATTTAATATTAAACTTTAATGAAATTAATATAGGGTTAAATAATTGTGTTGGCTTTTATAATCATCGTTACTTTTTTCAATTTTGTTGTTTTATGGCAATTGGATGTTTATATGCTGGTTTTTTTTGCTATCGTGAATATCAAATCAGTCGATTTGATGAACAAATGTAAGTACTAAAAACAAAAAAAAATTTTTATTCATTATAGTTAATTGTTGATTAATAGATTTCGGCAAATTGATTCATTTTATATGCCTGGAGATATTTTTGATACTATGGGTGTAGAAGGTTTCATAGCGAATTATATATTTATTATGGCATTAGTAGCTGGTTTTCTTTTAATTTGTATTTGTTGTTTGCATGGAGGTATGATTAGTCGAGATGAAACATCAGTCGAACATTTAGTGGCTAAATATTCTATTCATCAATATTATAAACAGAATTCTATTTTTCATAAAATATTCAATCCTAAAATAATCGAAAATTGGAAACGATTTTTAGGAGTTCATAGTTTTAGTGAATTTATTCGACGAATTCTTTTACCAAGTACACATAAACCAAAAGGTAATGGTATAACGATAGATGATTATAAAGTCAGTACAAATTTGATCTTACATCGAGAAGATTGTGATCGAAACGAACCACATGTTTCAAATACATCGAAAATTTCTTACGATATTTCCAATAGTTGTTTGGTTAGAATATATCGATCTGTGCTGTTATTATGGTATAAACAACGTAAATCACGCTGCTCTACTCCGATTTGTCAGTCACGATTACTATTGACACAACAAAGAAATATTTTACAAGATTGTTAAAGATATTAATAAAATGAATGAATTTAGTTTAAAATAACAACTTGAAAGAAAGATAATGTTTCAACATTGTGTGACAGAGACTTGATCATCATTTGACGGTATTACATTGTTCATGATCCGTGAGAACGTTTATAAGAATTGTTAATAAGACCATAGAATAGCACGTAAAAAGTAGATCTAGAGCATCACTTAAACTGATTTAAAACTATCGCATCAATTTTTTCATCCAAACTGAAGGTTGATTATAATTTATCAAAAAAAAACGACGGTTCGAGCGGTTTGTTCCTTTTTCTAAATCAATTTTCTTTGACTTTTTTCTAGTCAGTTGATACCACAAGTTTCCCTATTGGTAAATTCTTGTCACTAATGGCTGTTTTTGTGGCGCCATCTTTAATGCATCACCACACTCGAAAACAATACTTGGAACCTTCATTCGTAAGCTCTATTGAGTATTTTCTTTTTTGATAAGTAACTTTCAGGACATTCTACATACTTATGGGGAATAAAAAAATTCAAATTCTGGGAGAAAAGGTTGGGTATGAATGAGGATAAAGAGAATGCCCTCATTAAAAAATTCCTTGGATCGATGTGCCTTTTCCACACATTTTCAACAAGAGTTCTCAAAAAATTGATGGTTTTCTAAAATAATTTAATTTTATACAATAAAAAAAAAAGACATTCGATGACCTCTTCCAATCATAGAAAACCACAGATCATTACCTGTCACTGTTTTCGAGATGTGAAGCTCCCAACCATTCTCTTTTTTTCTCTATCGAATCTATTTATTTTTTTCACTTTGTGCTAACGTTTTTAATGCCGCTCCATTGATTGAATTTCCGATCGCCAAAACTTTTTTGGATAATATTATTTTCGTCATGCTCGAGCAGATATTGCATTTGTTCAATTTTTCCTTTGTATTTCTTTGCAATCTGTTGATTCCACTGTTGTTGATCAATATTGATTTTCATATGAAGATGATAATGATTTCGATATTTTCCATGATTCAAAATCATACTTCTCCAATCGCATCCTTCTTCATTTAATAGGACTTGTGTATCATGCCAAAAGTGTGTCATTTCTTCCTCTGACATTTCTGAAAGTCGTTCTATGTGTTTTCGAGGTGTAACAATTAACTTATTTCTCAATTGTGCATCTAGCCAAATACGTATGGTAGGATTTTGTTGAATCAAGCTGAGCTGTGATAATTTGTTGTTCATATCACAAGAAATGCACACGTCACATTGAACTGGACCGGAATGATTATCAACGTCCTTGTACATGAAATCTACGGTGAAACCATTCTGATCTCGATTTCGTAATCGCATATGAAAATCATAGATTTTATGTTTTTGTTCAATGAAAAATAATAATCGTTGGAAATAGCTTTGACTTAATTGTTGATCAATTAATCGTTTCAATGGCAATTGACACTGAAAAGAATAGCCAAGTCTGGTCGAATATGGAACCAAATCAGCGGAATTCATTGTATCATCATTATTTGTCCATTGTTGGCTTGTGATTGATAGTTTTGATAATTGATCACTCAATTGATCTTTTTCGACAGCCATAATTCTTTTTCTGAAATCTAAAATTCAAAAATTAATCCTGGCTAAGATCGAGAAGCATTGCTGCGATCATATTTACGCATTACAGAAAGAATGAAGGTATGGATCAGTGCTGCTACCTTTTGAAATCCGAAAAGCAGAAAATACTTTGCAAAAAGCAAAAAATAATAGAAGTTTTATCATCGAAAAGCAGAAAGACAGCAGAAAATATGTTTATCATATGAAAATAACAGGTAACTCGTAATAAAAGAGGATCTCAGTATTTTGTTAACATCTTAAGCGTTATCTTATCGCTCATGCTTTGTTTTTTCTTATCAAAAGATTCACCGTCTGCTTCTGCACAAATGGTATATTTCGTTGTAAAAATACTTATCTCCTTCTCTTTCGATATCACCACGATTTAAAAACAGCACTACACACAACTTTCAAAATCTCTATTTTTTTCAATTGTTTCGAAAAACATTCAGTCCTTAGATTAGTCTTTTTATCAATGGTCGTGCCATATTCTTTATCCAGAAATAAAATAAATTGCCTTTGGGTACGTTGATTGAAATGAAATAATTTATCTCTTGAGTGGTGAACAAATTATACCCAAAGTAACAGGGTTACTTGAGAAACTGAACATTTTGGAAAAAAATTGAGAAAATGAAGACTTTGAAAGTTGTGTGTAATGCTTGTTTTAAAATCATGATGATGTTGAAAGAGAGATAAGTGTTTTTTACAGCGAAATATATCAGTTTCTGCAGAATCAGACGGTGAATCTTTCAATAAAAAAACAAAGTGTGAACGATAAGATAACGCTTAAGATGTTAACAAAATACTGAGACCCTCTTTTATTACAAGCTATCCCTTAGTTTTAAATTTTAGTTTCAGAATACTAATCGCTGGCATTGTATGGCATCACAAAACGCAACTAATTAACAACTAGACAAAGTCATTGAACATGTTTTCTTTTTAAGGAGTATTCTTCATCAGATTTAAGAGCTTTTGACAAATCTTTTTTACCTAATAAATATTTATCCATTACAGTATATGATAAGGAGAAATTCAAAATAATTGTTGATTAAATTATTGCATTTAAAATTTTTTTGTTTCTTATTGTTCATAGGATTATCAATATTAGCTTTTTATTAGCAATGTTCGGAAAACTGTTGATGACGAACGATAAATGTTAGTCGAGACGGATCAAATTTATATTCTTTTAAAGATCATTAATATTCGATGACTTTAAATCGTTCTCAGTTGAAAATAACTTTATTCAATTTCTGTTTTCTGGCTTAGCTTCTGATGACATAATTATTCATGTTCATTGAGTAAACAAACGAAAGAATATATATGTTGATGTATATGAATTACATGAGTAATTAAAATACGATAGAAAGTCATAGGTAAAGAATTGATTTAAAGCTAAATACATAGGTTGGTAGTTGTTTGTAGTCAGTAGAAAATAAAATCATCTGTATCAAATAGAAAGAATTAGAATGACACAAAAATATCAGTAGTTTTTGACACGATTTTTTTTAATAATTATGGAAACCAAAGTATTTCAGGTGAAAAATGTTGATTGAAATGATAAATAACGCCGTATCAAAAAAAAGCAGAAATGACAGAAAAAAAACAGAAAAAACTTCACAAAACAGAAGAGATGACAGCTCTGGTATGGGTGTATCTATGGGGTAATGACACACTTACACATCTCACAGCTATATTTTTAAGAGCAATCTCAAAAGAGATTATAGAGAATTCAAATTATTGAAAAACAATGAAATCGGTGCTGTATATGACTTATGATGGCGCATAACAGAGTGAGGGAGTGAGTCGTGTATGTGTGCAATGCCAATGAAGACCTATACACATACCCACAAAATAAATTCTCAATATAGTTTATTGGCCGATTTTATTATAGCCTGATAAGAAAACCGAAATGTCTCATGAGCGAAAAGTGCCAGCAATAAAAGCACACATGTTGAATATCGAATGACTACGTTAATATCAGCATACTGATGATTTTACTATCAATGAAGAAACCAAACCAACTGATAGCCCTCCATTACACTGCATACTTTGCTCATAGGTAGGGCTCATAGTATCGATAAAAACTCTAAAATGATTCGTGCCATTGTCACTTTGCTCTGGAGAAACAAAAGTAACAAGTTTCTCTAGAAATGGTTTTATAGTGTTTCGAGTAATTTTTGTTCTTTTCATATCTGATTAAAGAAATATTTTCATGACCTGAAATTTTGTTTACAAATGCATGTAATATATAATTACTCACCGTAGAAATATTAGTCATATCCGAATTGATGTTCTATTAATAGAAAAGAAAAATTTCTCTAATCACTGCTTCCATTATTGCTGATAGTATTTGGCACAAATTTGAATGAGAACAATAATGTATCTAGGATTTTTTTTTCCTATTATTATTATGATTAGACTTCGATTAATAACTTTCTTGATTTTCTCATTTTGTTTTCATTCTCTGTACATTTTATTTTCATTCTTTGGTTCAATAAAAAAAACCAATAGTGAACTATCTCCACATTTAGTTATCATTCGTTTCAACTGTACACAAATTCAATTAGAGAAGAAGTTCTATATTTTAGCTCATGAAAATATTTCTTTATTCAGATATGACAAAAAATAAAAATTACTCGAAACACCATAAAAGCACTTTTAAAGAAACTTGTTATGCTTGTTTTTCCGTAGCAAAGCAACAGTAACACAAATCTCTTTAGAATTTTTATCTACACTATGAGTCCTATGTATAAGTAAAATATGAGCTGAAACAGAGAGTATGAGTTAAATAGATCGCTTTGTCAGATAATAACTTGATTTTTTGTCTCTAAAGAGTATATATATTATTGATCGAGAACTAAAAGGAAAATTACATTATTTCTCTTTCAAATAAAACAAGGTTTTCGAATATGATTAGAAATCGACTGAACTTTATTAGTATTATTTTTGGAATATTCTACATACTAATAAAAAACACATCAGAATGCAAATATAGGAGACAAAAAGGCCCACATTATACTAAAATACGTGAGAAATACATATGATATTTAAAATGAGAAAAATATCATAGTCACTTTAAAAAAAATATAATGTTCAATTTATAATTCATATTTGACTTGTGCTGGTGACTTTAAATTGATATAAATATCATTTTTCGATGTACCAACAACACGAACAGCCTAAATACATTGTAACCAATTTTCAAGTAGCAAAACAAAAAACAAAACACTTAGTTAAATCTTACCATATATGTTAATAAGGATTCAACATTAAATCGCATTTTATTTTTCAATTCTACATAAGTATCTAAAAATGTATCAAATGTCATATAATAATAATAAAAAAAAACAATGAAGTATTTCGTAATATAACCTGTTTCAGTGGAATATCGTGCTCGAATAGCTTGTGCTTCAGCATCAGCTCTATTAAAAATTAATATGAATATTATTGTTGAACAAGAAAAACTCTTACTGATTTCGAATAATTGTACTGTCAGTATCAGCACGTTCTTGAATAATTTGAGCTTGTTTTAATGCTTTTTGATATTCTGTACGAGCTTGTGTTAATAATTTTGGTCGTTCATTTTCAGCAATCTAATATAAACATCATATTCATTAACAAACGAAAAAAAAAAGCAAGAATTCAATATATTAACTAACTTTGATATTTTCTTTTGCTGCTTCTTTATCTTTGACAGCTGTTTCAAAGTCTGATGGTCGACGAACATCATTGACCTATTTAACGACGATTAATTATAACTAAAATTTCATCTAGCAAATATTTTTACTTGTAAATCTCGAAGAATAGCATAGAATGGACTTAATGATTCTTTCATTTTCTAATCAAATTTTGACAAGTATATGATTTTTTTTTTTGATAAATAAACAAACGTTTCTTACATCCAATAATTTAACTTGAAAAAAGCCTCTCATACTTTGAAAGGCAGTTGTATTAAAGCTAAAAAAAAATAGCATTGATTTTAGTTTTAAGTTAATTTAAACTAAGAGAATTTCAATATCAAGTCAAAATTCAACATTCATTTTCTTGTCTTTTAATTAAACATTAATATTATTTTCAACTTTCAATATCTTATGCAGAACAATCAAATAACAAAAAGAAAAAACTTTGTTGATTCAAACTTACTGTGCACATGTATCATGAACAGCTCCCTGTCCTGTTGCAGCAAGAATTTGCTTATATCCAGAAAAATCTTTGAATTGCATAACAATATCATATAAATAGTTTGGATCAGCTCGAAATTGAAATATTACATCTAGACTAATCGAAACACCATCTTTGTTAAGACACTAAATTAAAATCGACTATTCAATAATAATAATAATAGTAAAATTTAATAACAAACTGATATATCATCAAATTCCATTGATGTAAAGACACTTGGAAAAGTAATTAATGTAAAACCTGGTGAACCAAAATGTAAACCAGTTGTTTTCACTTCTCGACGAAGATTCTTAGTAATTATATTATATGGAATAGCAACTTGAAAAAAAAACCGAAATAAATTTTCTTTTTTTTTTTAATAAAAGTATTCAATATTAACTTTCATCTGTATCAAGTCGACTGACACAAGAAATAAAAAGTGATATAATTGTCACTACTGCTAAGCCAACACCAACACCAATGAGAACATGTATTATTTGCGCCATATTGCAAAAGAAAAAAAGATTTTATTCTAAAATCAAACGAACAGTCAAAAGTTCTATTCGACATTAAAAACATTTTTTTTTTAATGTTGAATAAATAAACAAAAACATGGGTAAATAAGTTATTAGAACGTTAATATTCACTGCAAAAAAACAAAGAATAAATATTTGATTTTACTTAATCATGTGATATTTCTCATTTACTATAAGCGTATTATTCATTTCAAAACTCCGGTAATTACTTATTATATTTTTCAGTTATTGAGAAAAAAAACCCCATTCTATTAAACTAATCTCTATGCAAATCTATTTTGATTTCAATCTGATATAATCGATCACAAATTTCTTCGTTTAAATTACTTTTAATATTATGCAACACATCAAATAGTTGAGGTGTTTTATCTTTTTTTTCGTACTTCTTACTCGATCATTATATAATAATTTTTAATTCTCACCATCGATAGATTCTGTGAAAATTTTTCACTATGATAAAACTCTGATTTCTACAGCTAATAAAATATTATACATAAACTGATGGGAAAATAAAGTCATCATTGATGAATCAGCATCTCCATCGTTGATTGTATCTAAAACCTTCATAACTCATGAACACTCATGTCGCCTATTGCAGTAGTATGTTTTCTCAAGTAGTGAGACACATTTTTCCCTATTGGTTAAGTCTTATAACTAATGAATATTTTTGTGGCACCACCTGCAATAAATAATCAAACTTGAAAAGAAAATGAAAACAGTCGATATAACTGATACAGATGGCTTGAGCGCGCTAACAATTGGTAAAGAGTTGAAAACTATTCATGCAATGAAATATAAAGAAAAAATCAAACAGAAGAACCGCCGTTAACTGATGGTTTGCACGATATGGACATACGAAACTATTGGTTAATGACCTATAAAATAAGCATATTGACTAATGAATAATATATTTGTGTCACAGGCAAAATTGGTTTTTTCTTTTGACGCTTCTATCAAATTCAATTTTGACTAGGCAGAATTCGTTCTCTATTCATGATTATTTTATATCATCTAACTACCAATTTCTTTCATTTTCATAAACAAAGTTCATTGAGTATTAAATAGCTTTCGATATTTTCTTGTGCAATATCAACAATGACATTACAACAATCTACTTATTCTCATTCTATTATCAATGATTTTGCACGTGAAAAATTTTATGAACTTCCTAAAAAACATATTGATGCGTTAAATCCTAAATTTCGTAATAAGCTGTTATCACTTGTGTTCAAAGCAAAAAAATAATCAATGTAGTTCAAAACAAGCTATCTACTGAAAAGGTTTCCGGTCGTCTTTCTCATTGATGCAAACAAACGTTCACGCTTTGTCCGATCGCTGGTCATCAACTTTTATGTGACTTTAAAGAAATTAAACCTGTTCTTTTATACAGAGACATATACTATGTTTATCACACAAGCCACAGCATGTCGTAAAAAATTTCCTTTCTTTTAGACAGTCACCCCATTTCAACCGGTTCTTCTTCAGAATACACACCCTATACACACATTGGCTGGCACGACAACGAATGGGGGTGAAGGAGTGTGCGTATTCTGAAGAAGTACCTCTCAACCCATTTTCATCCCTTGCTGGAGAAACATTTGATTCTTTTAGACAATCACCCCACGTCAATCTATTTTCATCAACACAAAATAAAAAATTATTTACTCATAATAAGATTTAACCAATAATAAAATTCTCCATATCCCCATCATCGAAAAAAAAATTACTCATAATAAAATTTCATCAATCATCAATGTTCCCATGTTCCCATCATCAAAAAAATGACTAATTTATTATCAGATAAAAAAATACTAAGCGTCTTATATCTTTGTCATTAAATAAACTACAAAAAATTTTAAATTTTGAATAAACAAATGGATTTATACCTTCATAAAAAATACCTTTTTTTTTGCAAAATCAAAAGTAGCAATTTCAATCTCAACTAGATTCCAAACTCACCTCCCACATCTCTATTCAAACTTTATATTAATAATAATTACATCTAAAGAGTTTAGAAAAACATTAAATTAAAAAAAATTTTACTTTTTTCTCTTTTTTTTTCAATAGATCATTATTAAGCCTTTAACGACTAATGTCTTGAAAGAAGGATATTTGTTTAGAATTCCTTTATTTTTGAATAACTTGCGAACACGAAATGATATTGCAGTGCAGTTTTCCATATGTGACATAGAAGGCACTTTCGTATAAACATCATGCAAAAGTCATAACAATTATTAAGGTCAATCGAGTAATTTTATATATTATCATTATTGATCGCTACGATCAAAATGAACGTAGTTATTTTTTTTTAAAAAATTCAAACAAAAAGAGGAATCCACTATTAGAAACGAAAATCGTATTTGATACACCAAATAACAGAAAGCCACAATTTTCAACTATTGGCTATTAAAGAATGTGTGCTATTTGTCGTACAAGTAATGGTTCATATGAAACTGTTTATTATTGTTCTCATTGTAAAAGAGCTTCCAGTGTAAGCTCTAATGAGGATTGTTTTTATAATGATCATTGTAACCATTATTTCTTTCCTACATTTGATTCAACGAATGTAACAAAAGATTTTTGTACATCTATCAAAATATAAAATTTCTATCAAACGTATTTCATCGTCAATATTTTCTCGATTCAAATAAAACACTAAATTTCAAATACAATACAATGCCTATATTATCTACCAGCATAAAAATCAATTATTGTCATCTACAATTTTTTTACATAATTCAATCATAGATATGATCCTTAATGAATATAATTCAAATAAAAATTTGATCTAAAGAAAAAAAAAATATATATATATATATATTTTTATTGCTTCTATTGAAAACATATTTCATTTTATACATGGAGAAAAAGAAAATAGATATATACATATATACAGAGCAGTTTATTCACAATAATAACAACTAAAAAAACTCAAATAAATCAATATTTGCCATTCAACGTATAGAATTCTATCTTATATACAATATTCATAATATTTACTGTTTCAATTGCTTTCGTTTAATTACTTGATTGATTGCTTATCAATTACTCTTTTTCTGTTGATGTTGTTGTGCTGCTGGTTTAATAAATAGCATTACAGGTGAACGACTTAAAAATAAATCAATATTTTGACCAATTCGTACTTTTTTTTCCATTAATATTGCTTTTATTGGTGTATTAGCAACTGTTTGTTTTATATATGCACGTTTAGCAGATAATAATGCAAATAAATCATCAGGATTTACTTGAGATAAAAGTTTACCATGTTCTTGAATAATTTTAATTATATCTGTTTCTTGTATAACACAAAAATTCATTTCAGTATCTTCATGTGAATCAACTACAGATAATGCAATAAGTAATTGTGCAGCATAATATGTTGCCATAACAAGAAGTTGAGAATGTACTAATGGAGTTACAAAACGATCGAGTGCAAGAAGTGCATCACTTGTTGCAAATAGTATACCACCTAAAAAAATAATGATTTTAGTCGTATATATAATATAAAAAATTGATTTTTATCTTAAGAATTATTCAAGAATTATATAAATATAATAATGAATTTTTCAATGAGAAAAATTTGATTTTGAAAATTATTTCAAAACAAAATCGAGTTTTGCAAGTCGGTTCATTGATAAAAAATTATGGATTAGTCTTTTTTTCTTCTAATGAAGCAATACAGTTTAGTTTAATTATTATTTTTCATTAAATTGAATTCATGTTTGTAAGACGTATAGGAATAAAATATCTTTATGAACATGATTGATTAATCAATTTTTTTTTGGTTTATAGAATATCTAAATTAATTGATAGATTGAACGTTTCGCACCTACTATATGAATATCTCAAAAACCTGAATAGATACCAGTATCAAATAAAAGAAAAAGATGCATAGTGCCATTGTTACGATGAAATCATCTGTTTTGTTGTTTTAATAGATACTCCATTTAGTTACTACGATCAGTTCCTGTTAGAAAATGATAGAATCTATAAAACCAAATATATGATTATCTCATTCGGTAGTCTGTTTCGACTGAAAGATAATCGTTTATTCAGGTATTCTCTTCATACTGATATAATTAGAATAATTTCTGGCAGAAACTAGTTCCTTATCAGTAGACTTAGTTCAGAAAATGACTGTAATCAAGCATCGAAATCTTCAACCTGGACTAATCAATAATAAACCAAGCATAGGCAAAAGCACCTGTTTTTGAAATCAGAATTGGTTGTAGTCAAATAAAAAAGAAACAGCTACAAATAACTCATGAACAATTGTACTGAATATATTTATAAGAATTTGTATGTTTGCTTTTTTTTTGCTATTAGTTTAATTCTATCAGAAATTATCGATTTGAAAATTTTTGCTGATTGAAATCAAATTCATCTAATCTCTATTAAAATCTCTTATTTATCTTTAATATTTATTATAATAAAAGACAATATCAATGTCAATATAATTTTCAAATAATTTCTTACCAAGAAAACTATAAAATCTTGTCCATGTCCATTCATTATTATCGATCTTCATTCTTGCCATTGCTCTCCATATCATAAACATAGTTAAACCAATATAGGGATAAATCTACTCAACAAAAAATAAATAAATAAATATATTCAACATTGAAGAAAAATTTACTTGAAAACTACTCACCACATATGACAATGGCCTATAGAGAACACCAGAAAGCATTAAATAAATAACAATAACGGGTAAAACCATAAAAGGTAACATAAATACTCTTAATGGTCTCATACCATATGCACTTGCATATAATATATGTGATATACCAAATGCTAAAACACCATGAATAAAAAATGCATGATCATAGACAAGTAATGCATCGCCAAGTAATGAAAAAGCTAAACCCGTTAAAATTCTTCTTGAATATGAATATTCAAATCCACGTAAATTAATTCCATTTAATAAAATAAATAAAATTAATGAACATATTGGTAAACATTTAAATGTTAAATAAAACATATCAGCAGTTTTATACTTAGATTTTGGAAAAAGTATAAAAAAAATTGCCACTGTTTTAAAAAATGGTACAAGTTTAGGACCATTACATTTTAATACATGCGGTAATTTTGTCAAAATAGTGGTTTGACTTAAAACGATATTTTTTGTCATTGACATGCTTTTCTGTCTTCTAAAAATAAATGATGAATATGTTTATTTGTGTATTCTTTTATATACTATACACTACATTCATCCTTGCCATGTCTTATATATAGATCACACAGTAGAAAAAAAGTCATGTGAGAACGAAAATGAAATCAACAAACGACATAAATTTGAAGGCTACATACTCAAAAGAACACAAAAAAGATACTTTGACAAATATTTGAATTTTTCGAAATAATAATTAAGCAAATAGAAATAAATTTTATTGATTTTAATTGATTAAATATAAAAAAAATTAACATATGATGAAATATTCATGTTTGTTAATGACTAATGTTCACTGAATGGAAGTAACAACATTACGTATTTACTTGAAAAATAGTATCACATGCGATGATCATGAGTTATGTTCTAATAACAATCCACTAGTGACTTACATCACTACTAGCGACAAAGAATATATGTTTGTTTTCAAGAACTTGTATTATTAAACAATCTTATTTCAAATAATGATATAATATTCATTAAATATAATTTTGTAAATATTTGATTTAAACCAAATGCTAGTGCCCTCTCTCATTGATCATTCATATTCAGGTTGTTCATTTGACCAACACGAAAAATTTGTTCTGTTACCTTATGATTTGATAAACTACGTCAGTTACAGAGTGCTATCTTTATAGATATTCAAGTTCTTCGATAGCATTTTTATTTTTGTATAATTATTATTTTGGATGGTTCATCAATAATGATGAACATTATTTCATTAATTTTATCTTATTTTCTTCTATCAATTGTTCAAGTTGTTCTGTCGGATGTTTATGTGGTATGATAGAAAACAAATCGTTTTTTTTTTTGAAGATAAAAATCTTTTCTGTTTTATTTTTCAAAGTATAATGATTCAAATATAACAATCGAAGATTTTGATGATCAAGGAGCTAGTTTTGGACCATCATTTCCAACAGGAGGATTAAAAGTAAAATTCTATTTTATTATTAAATTATTCGATTTTTGTAATTATATTAAAAACAAAAGGGTTATATTATAACAACAAATCCAGAAAATGGATGTAAAAAAATATTACCACCACCAAATATTCCAACATTTGGCTACTATTGGATTGCAGTTATTCCTCGAACAATAGGAAATGACACATGTGAATTTGCTCTTAAAGTAAATTTCAAATATATATATTTTTTTCTATATACTTTTATTTTCTAATACTACAAGGTACAAAATGCTCAAAATGCAAATTTTAGTGCGGTTATTATATATAATTTTGAAGATAAAATAATAACTATGGGATCATCGGGATCATCTGGAAAAAGTAAAAAGATAAAATAAATTTAATTGAATATTTTTTCTTATAAATTAAGATGTTCATATACCATCAACGTTAATTACTCGTACTAACGGCTTAAAATTGATTTCACATTATTTGTATAATAAAACATCAGTTAATTCAACTCCACTGTAAATTTCTTTTTCATTTTGAAAAATCTTCTTTCAATTCATTTTTTTGAAATAGATATCATATTAAAATAATGCCAGAAGAAACATTACCAGTGACTGCTTATTTAATACCAATTGCTGTGATTCTTGCCTTTACAATTCTTGGTCTTATTGGTTTTATAGTAAGATTTTTTCTTTATGATTTACAAAAAAAAAAGCCAAGATTCGATAATGAAATTTTTATTTAGTTAGTAAAAATTTATTTACGGCGACGTCAAACACGTCGTCATCGTTTACCACGATCAGCACTTAAACAATTAAAAATAAAAAAATTTGTTAAAGGTGATCCTTGGGAAGTATGTGCTATTTGTTTGGATGATTATGAAGATGGAGCTAAATTACGTATATTACCTTGTGATCATGGTTTGTAATTTTTATTTTGAAGATCATTTTGTTTTTTTATGAATTTATTTTATTTGCAGCATATCATATGAAATGTATTGATCCATGGTTAATAAATAATCGACGTCAATGTCCAGTATGTAAACGTTATGTATTTCCTGATCATGATAATTCTGATGAAGAAGGAAATAATAATCAACAACAACAAGCAAGAACACCAACAGAACAGACACCATTGGTACATTCAAATAATAATATTAATTCAACTACAGATATATCAATAAATCAACGATTATCTGGTAATATTTTTATAATTAAATTAATTAAAACAAAAAAAAAAGCGAATTATCTTCATTATAGGACGTCGATTACTTAATCCATCCGGTAGAGGTATACATAATGTTTCTTTTGCATCAAATGAATCATTAGAAGATGTTGAAAGTTTATCCTCATCACTACAAACAACATCAGTACATCCTGCAACAACAGTAGGAGTTACTTTCGATAGACCGTTATCAAATTCTCGACGATATGGTAGTATACATGAATCTTCAACAACACCACGTGTTGCTAATTTTTTTGTTGGTTCTATTGGTGGTGCAACTGATAATACAAATGTATCTGTGCCTTCTGTTGCTGAAGATGTCAGTGATATTGAAATAATTAATGATGATGGTGATGAAGCAATTCATTCGATTACAACTCGTTCAGAAGAAAATCCAGCATATGTTGATGATGAAGGATCAACAACGAATACAAGTCAAATATACTTGTAAAATTTTGTCGTGTCTTTTCAAATGTCTAACAGTATATTTCGTGTCTTATTGTTGCTCCAGTGCATCGTTTGAAAAAAGCTCTTTTTTTTTGTTTATATAAACAAATGTGTTTGAAAGTGAATAATGTCTAGATAACTTGTTACTAACTCCACTTTGTTTCTTTTTATGTGTTCACATTCCTAATGAAAACTAATTTATAGAGATGAATAGTTCGTGATGAAATTTGGTGATCTGTCTTTTATACTTCAATAATAATATAAAAATAAAACATATGAATTTTGATTTTTTTTTCAATGATGACAAAACAAATAGAATGTGTTGGTGGCAACAAGTCAAACCATTATACAAATTTCAATTTTATTTGTCTATAAAGAATTAGAGAGAGAAAAACATGATTTTTGTTAAACATATGTTCTTAGTCTATATGCATATTCGACGACAGCTATATGATATCCAGGGATATTCGTATCTTTTCTTTCTTTTCATTGCGGACGCGTCACTCTCTCACTTTCTTGATGAAATTATTTCATTTTCTTCTTCTATTGCTATTTCGCATTCGTCCGTCGATGACGAGATATAAAAAGATGGAGTGATGTTTTCATTATGTTATCCATGCTGGTCGAGGACGTAAGAAAATGATTTAGTACAAAAAAACAGCTATTTTTTTCTAAAGTGGTTACCAGTTATTAGAAGTTGTGTTGATAGTCTATTCGATATATGTATTGACTAGTGGAAATTATTTTAAAATCGTTTATCATCATTACATTCTTCTTTGTACATTTTCACTGTTCGATGTGCCTCCCTTGGATATTATGAAAAAAACTAGGGAGATACAGGGACGGTGACAATGCGCATAAGAATATTTTATTTTTAAATCTATTTAAATTTGATTCTAACAATGATGTGTGTTAACTACTGTTCTACTTGTGCCGCGCTATGCGAAATGAAAATGAGCGAAGTACAACAGACAGTCATTAACACCATTATCAGTTAACCTAATATATTATATAGATGTCAATGAGGCAACTGTTCAATTATACCTCGCTTGGATATATGAATGAGCGATGTATCACTGGATAGTCGTCGAATTCACAACCAATCTTCTAAATATTTTTAAAGACAAATTCAGATTTTCATTTCACTGTATTTCCTACCTCGCTATTGACATTAAAACAGCGAGTGTAAGCAGTAACAGTGGATTGGATGTTATCTGAAAATACACCCATTGATCTCATAGAATCTCTGATTATATTTTTCTTTTTTGTTTATACAGCTAAATATTATTCGAATGAAATTTATGAAAATATTCATTCTCATTTGATTTATGATTATTACATCAGATTATATATATATATATATAGGTTGTTCGAAGAAGAAACGTTAACAAGAGGTCAACATAGCAGCCGTCAGATTTAAAATAGATAATATTGTTAATTTGATTCAGAAAACAAAGGTTTCATATCCATTAGCACCGTTCAGATTGTAAAAGATGTTTTGAATATGAAATGCATGCATTAAAATTTTCTACTCTGAATATATGTATATGAATCTTTGGATGAAAATAATCATCTATATCTGTAGTATGAATTACGTGCACATACATTTTTCATAGATGCAAAAAAAATGACTATGCCACAATGTGTGTGTATAATAAATTAAGCTAGAACAAAATAAAGTAGCAATGAATTATACGTATGATTGAAATAAACGATACAAATAAATATATTTATATATATTTTTTCTCTTATTAGTACTTGAAAAGTATATAGAAAGTAATGAAATACTATTCGGAAAATGAGGCGTATATTTGGCAATAATCCAATAGTTACCAATCTGAACAAGCAATGTGTCAAAAACTACAACTTGCTTCATTCGGTTTAGTAAAAACTATGTACTTACAGGTAGGTAACCATCTCACTGTTGTTTTGAGAACGAAAATGCATATAAATTTGTAAAAAACAAGAAATAAAAAAAGAAGTACAAAAATTAATAGTACACATCAAACGTAGTACCATTATCATGCACTGAATGAGGTCTATGATCTCTGGAGACATGTCGATTCGGATATTGAACATTTCTCAATGGTTGACCATTGGACGCTCGTAAAATAAATTCATTTGTATCAAGAAACTGTGATTGTGCTGCTTGTTTTCTATTAGTTTGATGTTGTGAAGGTACTGATCGTTTTCGTTGATTTTCGTGTTGTTGTTGTCTCATCATACCTGGTTTATTATCTGGATAGCTTGCATAATGAGAATATTGTACAGCTACAGATGATCTTCGTGGTTCCATATCTGGAGTTAATTGACGATGAGGTACTATTGAATCAACATAATTTTGATCTGATAACAAGTTTGGTTGAGAAGAGACCATAGCGGGTGATTGAGCTGACCATATTGGATTCATCGTAATTGCAGCACCATTAACTTTTACAAGACGATTTTCATGAAAGGGATTATGATGTACATTCGATTGTTGATCATAATCTAAACGTATTTCAGAACGAGTTCGATTTCTATTTTGAATAAAATGATTATTATTATTGTTATTATTATAATTATTATTATTATTATTATTGATATTATTATTATTATTATGGTTGTTGTTGTTGTTAGGGGCATTGAAGTCATTTCGTGATGATGGATTTGATTGTGGTAAACCATTTCTTAATTCATAATTATTATGTCGAGAAAATAATTTTCTATAGAAGATAGAGATTGTCATTTAGAGAAAATTTTTAAGTACAATACATACTTAGTAATAGCAGTGATTTGTGATGGTCGAAAACGATAAACTGGTGATTTAGTCGGTTGTTGCATTTCAAGATGTTCAATATTACCATCATTATCAGTAAAAATTGAACTTGTCTCATCTTTGAGAAAATCAAAAGCCAAACTAACAGCTTCCACCTATACAAATAAAAAAATATTGATGGTTATCATTTAAATAATGAATTAATGAATTTTTATACCGGATCGACCGTAGCATCACTTCGATGAGTAGGTAGATGTGATTTTTCATTATTATCCTCAATAACAGCCTTATTCTTAAGTTCATCATTTATTGGAAGAGCACTCGTTTGTCGACCTTGTCGTGTTCGATTATCATCTGAATTAATTGGTGAATAACCAACAATTGCAGGCTAAAAGAAATTAAATTGAATTTATATAGTTTTTAATTCTAATTTCTTTTTTTGCATATTTAAAATAAAGTCTTGATCACCTTATATAAAAAACATATGCCAAACTTGGATCGTAATTTAGCTGTAAAAAGTGTTGTCAAATTTGTTGATGTATGCATCTCATGTTTAACACGTACCATGATGAATGATTATGTCATATGATTCAAACAATATGTCGTAAAAAAAAAGAGATGTTCATTTACTACTGCTCAGACATATAGAACAAAGAAGAATATATGCTAATCTTTCGATCAATGAATAGTGATGTGATCAAAATATTGTCGTAGAATTTAAAATGGAAGATAAGAGACAGCCAAAAAGAAAATATATGTGCTTGTTCAACAGAAGATGACAAAGAGACGGCGACAACGACGGTTGCCCTCGGATCACGAATACCAAATGAAGGTAATCGCTTACTAAATTTACTTTTCTCTTTCTATGTACTGACGCCAACAAGGATTTTTTTTTTGAAGTGTCCCACTTCGCTCAATAAATTTAATGAGTTATTGATTGATCAGAGAATGTACGATAACCTTGTACATATGAAAGTATATATACAAAATAGTGACCTAAATAAAATTAGTCGTCTTTCTTTTTCTTACTTGAGTGCTTCGCCATACTTGAGCTCGTTGAATATTTCCATGAGCAGCATGTATTGTATCATAATCTTTCGGCGGAAATAGAATAGGTTCTTTTGAATTAATTTTTTTTTGAAGTTCTTCTGTAATTGATTTAACTGGATCGATTTTTTTTTCTTGCCGATTATCATTACTTGGTGACATTGATGAAACACCTGTGTTTGTTTTATGTGATTTCCTTGCATTAAAAGCATCTATATTCAATAAATTATGATTCAATAAGTATTGTTCTAATTGAACTATTTGAAGACGATGACTTTCAATAAGTAGATATGCACGAAGACGAGATAAAAATTTTTGAGCAGTACGTGATGAATCACATCGATAAATATGAACAAATGCTGGATAATGTTGACCATTCAATGGTGAAATATAAACAACACCTAATTAAATATAAAAATTTTAAAAAATTAATTTTTTTTCTTATTCAAAATTCAATAACATACCAACAGTGTCATCGAAAGATGTTTTACTAACAGCTGAACCAGCGATCATTGTTGATGGTACAATTGTAGAAAATTTTTGTTCATCATTATATATAATTTTAACACCATCTTTCAATACAGTTAAGGTAGTTTTAATAAATTCACGTTTTGTTTTAACTTGACGTGTAAAATCAATAGCATCTCGTATGGTTTGATCATTTAAAATTAATGCTGCTGCTATACAACCACAATAATCAACATGAAATATTTTTGGTCTTGATAATTTATTTAGAGCCATTTGACATATCTATAGATTCTAATGAAAAATAATTCATTTATTATAGAAGAAAAAAAATTGAAAAAAAAAGATCGTTATGTCTATCGATGTGTTACTGGACAGTTTTTTTTTTCTTGTTTGACACTTGACACTCAGTTAACTATACCTACAATGTACAGCATGCCATGTGCATCAAAGCTATCTGAGATTTGTTTCAAAACAAGTCACTCGAACGAATATATCATAAAGAATTTCAAAGCAGTCTCTTTTATTTCGTGATGTATACAAGAGTTATTAAAAAAAAAAGATGAACTCATAAATTATCTCATCGTAATAAAGAACAAGAACCAAAACAGAAAAACAGAATACCTCGCATGTACATGTGAAAAGAAAGTAAACATGACTCCAGTTTGCTTTCTTTCTAGAATTATTAATCAGACACTTGACAAAAAAAAAAAAAAAAGAAAAAAGCCATACGAAACAAATTCACTCTCTTAATTCTTCCGTTCTTTCTTCTGCTTCGTTACAGCAAAACAGTACCGATTGAGTAGGTGTTGTTGCTTGAAAAAACAACATCACATAACGTTTCGATTTTTTTTTCTTTACCTACGTCTTCAAAAAGAAGAAAAAAAATTTATTTCTACCAATACGACGTTCGACTACGAACACAAATGACAACTGAATAAAGAAAAAAACTTCGAATCGATTGTACAAAATGCATAATAACGATTGACATTGGAATTTTAAATTCAATGTTAAATTGTTGAAACAATATTATATAAAAAGATATACACATACCACTAAGTGCTATAATACGATGCATATATGTTTGCAAACCATTTAAAATACAATAGATAATATGTAGAATATTAATAATAATAAGAATAAAATCTTTTTGAAAATTATCTAATAAAGAATCTTTTTTTAATTTATTTAATTGATAATAATTGGAAATAAAGACAATAATTCCTGTAAGACAAAAATGAATAATCGACCATGAATATGAATAAATAAAAATAATAAATGCAAGAAGAGCACCCGTTAAAATACCATCAATAATAAAAAGAATATATAGGAAATTATTTGAAATATATTCATAAATAAGATCTAATAGAAGATCATTGCTTGATAATAAACCCATAAGAATAATATATAATGAAAGCCATGAAAAATATTGTTTAATCAGAGAGAATAAAAAGAATTTGTTAATAATAAATGAAATGAATATAATTATGAAATAGATAATCAATACTATCGATTCACTAAAGAAAAATATCATTAACCACACTTGTATGAAAAAAAAAATTTAGTTGAAAGTAATGATAGTTTATTTTTTCGATAGATGCGCGTTTATGTATATATTTTCATTTGATTGTTCATAATGAGTTTTTAGATATGATTTAATTGAAGAGAATCTATTTAAATTTTGATTGAACAATAAGTTTCAAAATAAAAATCTTATCCTTTTTATCATTCTACTAACTTATTAAATTTGACAATGAATTATATTTACACACGTAATATCTTTAGTTTTTACCTTATTATTCACAAACGATTGTCATTTTATAATAGCTTTATTATAGAGATAGAGATGATGGTAGGTCTTACTTGTTTTCTTTTTTATTTTATGATAGGACAACATTGTTAAATCTATGTCTTATCGAATACTTGATATTGTACGTTACAAACACATTCCTTTTTTTTTTCGTTCTTTTATCTTTTATTCATCAACATTTTTTTTTCAATCATTCTTCACAATATACGCATTCTTTTTTTTTTATTTTGATGTATTTATTTATGATTGTTTTTCTTGATCAAAAAGATCGAATTTGAATACATTAGCACGATAATACTGTAACAATTGAATAGAACCTTGCAATTCTGTTATAAGATTATTCGAATCAGCATTTATTATTCTAAGATAAATCAAATTAATCTAAAGAAATTTTTCAGATAAAATTAAACCTACGGTCGATTTTCGTATACTCTTCGAGCCCATCTTCGACAAAGAACATTTAAAACATCGACATCAATACTTCGATAATGACAACATGAAAGAAATTCAGGTATAATACGTTGTATTCTTGCACGATCAATATGAACACATTGACCACAAATAGGAGAACTTCGATTAACTAAAATATTTTTATGTAAAAAATTAACTAATAAAGAATATTTATTGCATTTATCATTCATATCAAGATAAATATCATTTAATATATTAAGATTTCCATCAGTTATAATTACATATACATGATTGACTTGATCAGAATCAGTTTTTAACCAAACTAAATGTGTACGAGGATTTGAAAGAATAGATGCAGGAAGATAAGGTGGATGCCGAATAGCATGCCAACCAAGATAAAAATTACTATAATTATATTAAATATATATATATATATATATCAAAGACAAAAGGAAAAAAAAAGAAAGATTTTTTATTCTTACTGTTGTCGATAATGATTAAGTTCATTAATTGATTCTCGTATATCATCACGTGCTCGATGCATCATTTGTTTGTGAGGTCGTTTAGTATATCGCACTGGTTGCCAGCGTAATGTTAATTCTTTCAAAGTACTACCTTAAATATTTTATTCAATAGAAATCTTTGACTTTTAAAAATAAGAAAAAAAAAAAACCTATCTATACATACAATCAACAATACTTGGATGAAGAATTGCATTGAGACGTGGCATATATTTTTCAATAAACCTAAAATTATTTGAAAGGAAATTACATTTTTCTTTTTCAAGATAATCTTTAGGAATATTTAAAAAAAAAAAAAGGAAAATTTATTTTCACAACTATGATTTCGTTATTTAATATGATCAGAACATTTGTACATGAATATTTACCTAAGTCATTTTTTTCATCATAGTATCAGCTCAGATTACGTGTTAAAAAGTTTCACTCGATTATAGTTTACTCAGTATTATCAATCAATGGAATTCGAATATAATCAAAATTGAATTTTCTCTGATAATTTCATTTTTAAACAAGTCTTTGACAATTCTACTCGATTCAATACAGGCATATATATATATATATATATAATAATAGACAACATATTGTTTTTTAAACAATCTTTTCAATTGAGTTAATTTTCTTTCATAAGTATTCAAAATAAAACTGAATCCATAAAAAATGGAAAGAAGAGAACATGACTAAGATTTTTATAAATAAAACTTTCAAAAAAAATCAATTAATCAATGAAGTAATGTGACTAGTGTTCAATATAAATCTTTAATATAAACTCTTCTCATTTTACATACTTAACTAATAATTTTTTCTCCTTCAATATCAAAATTCATAAGAATTTCAGAAAGTAACTCCTTAAAGATTATCCAAATGTCTTTTAGTGAAGCTTTAAATAGTCTTCTATCTTATGCAACGTCTGATGCTCTTTTATAGTTGAATATTTGATAAGAAAAAAAAGCATTAAAAGAGTTTACATGAAACTTATCTGTTAGAAATTAGTCACATCAGTTCGTAGACTAATTGTTTTTAAAAAAAGTCTATTTATCAGAACGTAGCTCGTGTTCTTTTCAGTCCATTTATATGGATTCCTTTTTTATTGTCAATACTTATAAAAGACATTGAAAAAAGGGACTGTCAAATGGCATTTTTTTACCATGCTCTGAAAATAGAGCCCGTCGGTTTGGTCACAAACACAGGTCTGGAAATTTTCTGTTAACCAAGTGCGGGACTGATCCAACGAAAAAACCTATAAAATAGTAGGACGTAGAACGATTGTCAGACTTCGGAGTATAGCTTAGGTTCATGTCCAGACTCGACAATGTTGGGTTAGACGAGTTCTATCTGAAAGTTGCTTATGAAAAATTTTTTTTGCTCTGCCCTAAGGTCAGGAGAAAAGAAAAAGAATTGTCTTGTGATGATCTTTGGTTGAAAAGATCCTATAAAAAATGTCGTCCAATATTGTATGTAGCTTCTTTGAACCTGGGAAAATTTATCACATATTATTCTCATAGATTTTTTGCGAATGATAAGAAAACTTGCCATCGATCAACAAAAACTGAATTTCCAGCTAAAATTCCAGTACCGGATGCACAATAACGTTTAAGAAAGTCAATAACTGTTGTTTCAGCATTATATAATGATATTTGACTTTGTCGAATTAATTCAATTAATCCTGATTTCGTATGTTGTTGTCTTGACCAATCATTCATTTTATCAAGTACATCTTGATCATGATGAATAACAATATCTGGACCTAAAATAAAATATACAGTAAATAAACTAATGTATGTTTGTTTTTTGTTTTTAACTAAATACAAACCTTCAATATAATTTTTAAGATGAAAATCAGTAATTGCTATTGCTATTTCGACAATTGTATGTATATTTAAATCAAGTCCACTCATTTCCAAATCAATCCATACAAGTAAATTGTGATCACAATCATTGATCATAGCCATGATGAGCGAAAAAAAAAATCTGAGTAATAGACAATTTTTATTTTCATTATAAATAAAAAAAAAAAAAAAAAAGACAAACGAAAAAAAAAGTAATGTATGATTGACGATTATTTTAGAAAAAAAAAACAAACTGTAAGAAAAACTTTTATTGTTCAAATTAATCGGATGATTTACGAAAAAAAAAAAAAACAAAGAAACAAATTATAATATATTTTAAAATGACATTATTTTCTTTATTGTCATTCTTATGTTGAAAATATTTTGTATATTAACATGGATCGATATAAAGTTCTTGATCGTCAAAAATAGATGAACTTTGTTGAAGAAATGAATTATTATTATTTGAATCGAATTCACTGGTTATATGTTCATCATCATCAATAGTTGATAATTGATCATCTTTGATTCTTGAATTAGGAAAACGCTAAATGAATTTAAAAATAAATTTATTGAAATTTTAACTTCGATTTATTTACAATATGCTTTAATAATCGAGCTTGTTCTTTTTTAGCTTCAAGTATTCGTTCGTCTTCTGACATTCGTCGAGTTTTAAATTCTTGCATATCACGATCAGCACGAATCTCACGTTCCTTAATATGTAAAATAGTTTAGTTAGAAAATGACTGATAAAAAAGAAATCATACGCGCTCTTTACGTAAACGTGCTTCGGTGTCAAGTTTATGTTTAGTAAACATTCGATTAATATTTGCTCGTTCGATTTGTCGTTCTTGTTCAAATTGTTCTAAACGACGTTTCAATCTGAAGAAAAAAAACAAAAGAACTTTTTAAAGACAAGAAATAAACATTGAACTTTTTACTTTTCATCAAATTGATTCGTTTCATTTGTACTATTTTCTAATCGAGAAGAAATCTGTAAAAGACAAAGAGTAAATTTTTTTTTTTTTATTGTATAAATAGAGGTGATGATGATATATGCCTTTTGATTATTGTTGAATTTTAATTGAGAATAAAATTCTTCAACACGACAATCAAATTCATTGTCTAATTTTAAACTACTAGAAAAATTATACGATGAATTTAGAATAGATATTTTTTTGTCAAACATACTTTAATTCTTTTTCTTCTTGTTCGGTACGATTCAGTTTAGTTATTAAATCATTAATACGTTTTGATCGTATTTCACTTATATTATCTTCATTTGTATTTGCGAATTTTGTTAGTTTTTCTTCTTCTTCTTCAGCTTGAAGTTTTCTTTGAACAGAAAGAAAAAAGGCAAATATTAAAAAAAAATTTTTTTATGTTCTTTTAAATTTTTTCCGTGTTCAGCCGGTACTCCTCCCCTCCTCATTTTCGATGTAGTGTATGATATTTTCATGTAACTTTCCGAAGATGTTCGACCAATAGAAGTGCATAGAATATAAAAAATTTCACGCCTTCAAACATAACTATTCACGAGATTTCTAGGCGCCATGGTGCAAAATATGCAAATGTTTGTTTTTCAATATGTTTTAAATTGTAGCGCTCGAGCTACTCTCATTTGAAATAGAACTTCTTATCGCTTCGAATGAGAGAAAGGATTTCTTTAACTTTTATCTTATTTCATTTTCAATGCTCTGAATATCATAAAACTTCAAAAATCTTAGACAAGATTTTCTATAAAAACTCATGATTGATTTGAGATTGAAGGTTCAATACAAAATCCTTTTGCCTCATGTGAAAGAGGATGCATCTATCTATTGAATAAAAAAAAACTTAGTTCACTAAAACGAGCTATATCAAAAAACAAAATTGTTCGAAATTCGACTATTCTTAAAAAAAAACCGGTGCGAACTTTTTTTTGTAAATTTTCCTGAACAATTTTCTAACATGAGCTAGACATCTTAGAGATCATGCCTATGTTTTTATAAAGTATCTTGTTGTAGAAAAATTAGTTTTTTTTTTGCAGGGGGAGTTTGGTGACCTTAAACATTCATTTTGAAGAGTGATTTTTCTTTTCTATTTTTGAAATGAATATTAGACCCAATGTATATCTTGTATTGACCAGATTCGTCCGAATTTTATCTTAATGACATTCTTCGTACAATGTCTCACTAGCGAATTTCTACAGATTCTTCTTTCCGATGAAAGTGTTTTTTTTTATTATTCAATCTATTATTCAGAAACAGTATTTGTTGGACAAATTGTTTTTGTTTTTCGAATTTTACTGTGAAACTGGTTCCACTTAAAGATGTAGTATACATATGCATGACTCAAGAGTTGCAGAATTTTTAGGCATGGTCTGAGTATATATTTGTCCTCACTATTCGGATGCATATTGAAGATAAAAACCCTAAAAGAGTTCGTGTCATTAAGCCTTTTTTTTATGTGTTATGATTATTAGACCGGTTTTTCAGTCTATTGCAGGATCTTAAGAAGAAAAAAAACAACAACAAGAAATCTCATAGTCTTATGATATTTTCGAAGTTTCGACTCAAAGGAATGATTTTTTCTTAACATATCAGATGTCTGAAGAAAGTGAACTATTTTATGTGTTATTTCAGGAGATAAACGTCTGTTTAAACAGAAGCTTTCAGTTGGAAGTTACTTATTGCTATTTGTTTTCGTAATATTCTGCAATAAGTTGAAACCTCAGTAACATATGCATAACTTCAGAAGAATAGTCTAATGGTATGAATTTTTTTACGGCACTATGCGTCCAATCTACGAGCAAAATATAAGTTTAAACGGAGGATAACAGTTGAATGCGTTTCCTTGTTAGTCTAAAATTCGTTATAAGGACTATTATATGTTAGACTGTTCAATGGCGATAGTTTTAAAGCAAAATTTGAAAATTTGCAGTCCTGTAGGGCTCTTTGGAAACTATGCATATCAAAAATTCGATAGTTTTCCAAAATCTGAATAAGAACTCAAATGCTTCTAGATTTTTCACCAGAATATCATGTAATATTTTATAGGTAAAAACTCATTGAAATTGAAAGAGTTTGATTAATTGATATAAAGCTTCTGTCCACACAATCGAAACATCTGGTAGAAGAATTATGATTGTGAATAGTTTTCGAAGAATGAGGAAATGCTTTTTAATTTACCGCATTGGTGAAGCTAAATGATCGTATGTTGAAGATAAACTTGTTTTTGATAATCTATTACTGTTATCAAGATCATTTGTCTAATAAAAAGAAAAAATTCTATCATTTCTTTCTCTTTTTTAAAAAAATGATAACTTACTGAATTAGTTTGTTTTATTAATGCAAGATAATTAATTGTTGGTTTTGGTAATGTTTTAGGTGGTATCGCTGATTTTATTCGATAATTTTCATTTTGATCTAATGGAATGTTTTCTTGAAAGGCTACTGATTTAACTGTAGATACATTTCGATTAGTCAATGATTGTGTGTGATTATTTAATCGAATAGAATTTGTTAGTTGAAAATTATTGTCATAAATATTTAATTTTTGTTCATTTGATTGTTTTGAATTAAAAATACTTGGACTCGATTGATATTGTTGTGGTATATGAGAATTTATTTGATCATTTTGATTTAAACGTGATGATAGTATTAATCGTTGTTGATGATTAATTATTTCATGAGGTAATAATTCTTTTTTTATACAAGGTTGAGTTACTAATGAATTAAATTGACCATGGTGAATATGAGTAGTTAATTGTTGTTGGACAGTTGATAATCGTTCATGATTATTTGTAGTCTTTAATGCAAGTGTCGAATGTGGATATTGTAATGATGTTAATGAAGAATTTGATGCTGAATAAAAACGATTAAATTCATCATGATTATCCGATGATGTTGTAAGTAGAGTTGAAAGACCATGACTATTAGCTGCATTTTTTCGTATTTGTAAGGTAACAGAAGGTCCACATTGTTTAAGTGCTTCGGCAGCTCTGAAAAATATAAGAAAAAAAATCGAAAAAAAAAGCTATTGAATTTATTTCTCTTTGTACTGTTCTTGTGTTTTATTAATAAGACCAATTTCATCAACACAAAGGATTTGATCACCTGGTTGAAGACGTCCATCATCTTCTGCTGCACTACCAGATATAATACCTTTTATATAAACACCTTGAAATTGTTGAGATTCACTCTAGAAAAAAAAAACCGATGAATTTTTCAAAATATAGTTTAATTCAATTATTTTCTTACTTTTGCTGAAACAATACTTAAACCAAGATTATTTCCTTTTTTATTTAATATAATCGTTTCTATTTTATCATTATCTTTATTATTATTTTCAATCTAAATATATGCAATTAAATAAATAAGATACAAAAATTTCTTATTTACTTTTGATATTTGTAAAAATTCAGTCCATAATCCAAGACTATATGAATTTGTAAATAAACGACATAATACTAATCGACTCATAGGTTCAATAAATTCAAATAATTTTTCTGGTATACCACGTAAATGTTCACATGTATAACCATCTTCCGGAAATAAAAATGGTAATGTTAAATTAGGTTCTTCAGCTAATTGAATTAGAAAACCTTTACGATGTAAATTTTCATCAACATGTTTATAAGCAACAGAAAGAAGACTAAATAAAAACAAAACAACAAAAGATTCAAACTCAAAATTTGATTAATTAAAAATAAAAACAAAAGATGAATAATGATTGTTTTCAATAGATAAATTTTCTGCAGGTTTCAATAATCGAAAGAAAACAATTCCGGAACGTCTTTTTTGTCTGATGTTATATAAGACAAAGTTATTTTAAAATCTATCATCTTTACAAATAATTCAAAAACATGCATGAAAACAATGTTTTGTTTCAAGAAACTTTATTGCTAAAAATCAACAAAATTCTATATAATTTGACCGAATAGATATGTGATTTTGTTTATCAAACATTGAGATATGAAATAGATTTGACGAACATGTCAAAATCAAAATTACATCGAAACGAAACATTTTTTCATACATTTTTTTGAATGTTTAGCAACGATGACGAGTTTTAAAACAATTTCGTCTGATATAGTATCAGACAAAAAGACGTTTGGAGTTCTCCTCTTTTGATTAACGAAAATCTCATGTCACTAATTATTGTCATTGTCGAGTTATTGAGCTTACATCCATGCCTCTTTAATTCTGATGTGGACATGAGTATATCTAATCGACTTAAAATCAATGTAGTTTCACAATGATTTTAGAAAATTTGTAATTGGATATGAATGAAACCATGGTTTTTTTTGTCTGAATTTAGTCCCACTAACTTCTTGTCTAGTCAGTTCAATCATACTTTCCGATAAATCTGATCTAGCGCCGATCTAGAGAAAACTATTTATTAATTTATCTATATCAAATCCAAAAAAAAATATTCTTGAATTTATTTATTCAGCCAATGATTATCGCTTTCTTAAGTCATCTTTTCGAAGGTTCGAATAATTTTTTTTTCTCAAGCTCCCGATTTGTCAGGATCGGAACCAAAATCACTTCCTCACTCGGCTCCATTTGTAGTTTACTTCTATTCTTCTCAAGTTAGAAATCTGAACGAGCATAGGTGACGATTATTTCATTTATCGCAATTTACAAATTGATATTCAAGACTTTCTTTTATTAGTTTTTAAGTTTAACAAGAATATTACTATACATAGATATGATCGAATAGGATATGAAACTTGATAGACATTGAACCATGGAATACAAATTGCATGATGAATTGAAATCATGTTATATATGAAAACAACAGAAAATATATAAACGAATAGAAAAAAAAATTCAGTACTGTCACAAATTAGGAATATATAAAGTCATCACATAGCGGAAGGAAAGGAAGAGAATAACAATATTCCTTCATCATAAAATCTGTTTTGTCTTTGAGACAGTTTCTTTTTGATGCCTCTCTCGTCCGGAATAGAATTCAATGAAAACTATTATGACAACAGATGATAAAGGATAACAGTCAATGAGATAGTTATATTTCTATTTTCCGATTTTTTTTTTTTTGTTAAACTTACGCTTCACGAAAACTATTTGAAATCGGTGGTTCATTTCTACTTAAGATATAATTATTTAATATTTGTATTATTTGTATTGAATTAATTTTCAATGTTTCATTCATTAATAACTGTTGTATATCATGTATATTATTTTTTGAACTTTTTAATAATAGACATAATTGATTAACTTTCATTAAATGACATTCTGATGTTAATTCTAAACCTTGTTTTTCTGCCCAATCATTAATAGATTTTAATCGAAATAATAATTTTTCTCCCCAAATATATGAACATAATTTTAAATCTGGACAACAAACAATACGATTAAATAACCATGTATTTATATAATAAAATATTTGTGAAAATATTTGAATTGTTAATGCAACATTTACACGACATTTACGTAATAAATTCATTATTGATGAAAATGTTAAAAGTATATCATCTAATGTTGATTGATGATATTGATTTGTATTTCTATCAATTGTTATCCAACGTGTATCAGACAATTTTAAATTTATTAAATTATTTTCTTCTAAAACTTTCGAATTATTCAATGTCATATGAATATTATGTTCAATATCATCCTGTAGATTAGTAAATGCAATTAAATATTTATCTAATTCATTTTTAAAACAATTTATTAAATAATAAAATAAACGTTGAATAGATTTAATTAAACGAACTTGTATATCATGAGAAATTTTTGATAAATCTCGATCGTGTTTTAAAAAATAAAGAAATTCTGATATATTTGCTAACCAATAAGCAAGATAACCACCATGTTCTTGACATTCCTTTGTAAAAAGAAAAAACAAAAACGAAAATTATTCATTGAATTTAAAGAAGAAAAAAAAAATTTACTTCAATTTTTTTATTTATCATATTTTCAATATGATAGAGTAATGAAATAACACTTTCTAATTTTTTTACAAACGGTACATTCGATTTTCCATATGGTGAAAGACGATATCGTAATGCCATATAAAGTGTGTATACAGGTGATAAACGAAAATGAATATTATTTAATGGATAATTATTAAAAATAGCATGAAGAAATCGAATTTCACCTAAAAGAAAAAATCAAAATATTTTATCAATAAGACGAAATAGAAAACATATGGCGCTGCTCAAGTGAATAGTCAGTTCCGGCAGAAATCCGATGTTAGGATTTTTCTCGTTGCGAATGAAATCGATTATAACTGAACAGAGTCTAGCCAGTGAATTCGACCGCTGGACTCCTGCTTCTAAGTTTCTATCATTTTTTCAGCTAGAAATGGTATCTTTACGGTGGATTCCTGTCGGGAATCCACGAATTCGAACAGAAAGTGTCAGGAGTGTGAAATTCTCTTAATTCTTGGAAATTTTTCTTATTTTTTCAGTTAAAATTCGAAAAACAAATATGTTATAAAATTTTGAACAATCTTCCCAAACATAACATGACTGCTTTGAGTGACAAAGCAACTCTTAAGAAATATGATAATTTATATTTAAAGATGTTTTTATTTTTTTTTACAGAAATAACACCTCGACAGTAGAATTATTAATCGATCTGCAAATAAAAAACATTCGTATCGGTAAATACTATCAATTACATAAGCTGCTTCTGAAAAGACAAATTCAGAGAAATTTCAATTCCTTATGATTGATCAATAGGTGCTAGCTTGAATACTTTCGACATTAGAAACATTGAGAATTGATTTTGAATTTGATATTTTCCTTTGTCAAAATATCGAAAGACAAAATCAAATTTTCTGTTGAGAAAAACCATAGATCTGTTTTCTAATGTTGATTAACTCAGAACTGACTTGTACATTGTTTCCCAGATTGTTCATCAGAAATCGACATTCATCTCTCCTATCTTTTAATATATACATCTTTTGTGTGATAATATTATTTGAAATGTATTCTATATGAAGGAAAATACGTAACAAACAACGAAAAATCACTTCTTATATGAGAGAAATCTACATCATAAATTTTATTTTATTTTGATATACACACTTTGATACTCAACTGCATTCACTTTTTTAATATTATGAATATAAATTCCTAAGGGAAATCATTGTTCCATGTACTTCAAAGCACTGAATGATCTCATAGCTTTGCTTTAACAAAGTAATACAATTATAGAACCGGTTTTTTTAAGAGAAAGAACTGATATATTGAATTCCCATATTAATATATTCAAAAAGAACAACATTAGCACTCCTATAAGGATAGATTTTTTGTTCAGTCGTCGAAGGATTTTCATCAAGAAAAATAAAATCTATAATTGTTTCATATAATATGAAAACACTGAAAAAAAAAGACAAATTCCTACTTTTGTACAACTATATAGAATGATTCGAAATTGAATCTGCTTTTGTATTCAATTTAATCGTCTCAACTAACAATATAGTTTATCTATATAAATATTCATAAGTCTTGATTAATACTCCATACAGAGATACGTTTATAATTATCATTTAAAATCTTTCTTATTTTTAAATATTTCATTATTAAAACTTTCAAATTATAGAGAAAAAGACTTCAATTTCGAATAATTCTCATTTTAGAAATCGTATATTATTCTCATTAGTTAATAAGATTTTGTTGTATAGAATCTTACTTTCAACAGGAACTTCCAATAATCCCGGTAAAACATTGAATTTTGTTCTAAAATATTTTCAAAAATTAAATTCAATATAAAAACAAAAATTATTTTAATACCCTTGTTCAACAACATTAGTTGATAATGTTTTCTTTGGTTGAATATGTAATGCACTTGATTGAAAATTCTTCGTTTTATTTATTCCATTCATTGATAATATTGGTAAAGAACCATAGACAAATAAATTATCTTCATTTTGTTGTTTTCTTTGTCCTGAGATTAATTTTGATTTCTGAACAAATTGTGGATCACAATAATAAAATGTTGAATTTCGTCCAAAACGAATTACTATTCCATGTTGAAGAATAAATGGTGTCGAAATAAGTTTTTCATTGATCCATATTTCCCCATGTGGAATAAGTGTGACAGTACCATTTTGATTTTCTATTGTACAATGATCACGATCAATACCAGCACCGTCAATCTAAAGTCAATGTTTTTTTTTTATTCAAATTATTTTATGATAAACTATTTACATAAAAATATTGTTGTCCAATCGCTGATTTTGTATTATGACCAACATATGTCGTATTTGGATAAAGTTTAAATACACGAGGTGTTAAAAGATCAGTGCTATCTAAAGAATAAATTCTAATAAAAATTTTTATTCAAATAAGAAAATAGATTTTACCATGATTAATTTCGATAAACATGGGAAGTTGATTATTAATAATTCGAGATTGAATTGATGGAATTTTAATTAGATCTAAAGTTGTTTCTTGTGTACGATGTTGTTTACGAATTTCAATATATTCTTGTGGACATTTAATTACTTTAAATATAATTGATCCTATTTTAATACAAAATATTTATTAAGTTGTTATTTTTATTTTTTTTAAATAATTTTTAACCTTGATTTTTTTGTACATGATTTAAATAAATATTTAATAAACATTCTTTATCATGAAGTATGGTTTCTTTAATAGTTGTATTACCGATTTGATCACGTGGTGGAATAATAATCTTAAACAAAAAAAAAGTCTTCGTCAATAAAATTTTATATAAATAAGTTTACTTGAAGTAAACAATAATTTTGTGGATCTTCATGTTTTAATCCATATTTTTCAAGCATTTCTTTAACAATCCATTCTGTTGTATCGTCTATCGATAGAAGAAATGTTTTATAAGGTATAGAAGGATTTAATGCATCACCAAATATTTTTATAGTACCACCTTAAAATAAACTTATATTAATTTTATTTAAATCTAAAAAGAATGTCATACTTCCTTCTTTAGTATTAATTTTAATAAATTTTTGTTTTAATATATCTTGAATTTTTTTAACCATATTTGGATTTCATAATAAAAGAGTGAATTTATTTGTTTCAAGTATTGATTCAACAATCGTTATTCGTGTTATGATCGACCATTGAGTATCATTTTCATCAATAGCGTTTTTTCTATGAATGAAAAGGAGTTTCTTTTTTTTTCTTCTTTCGTTCTTCAAAAGCAATTTTCGAATATTCTATCGTATTAAATACGATTTAAGTATATATTTAAAGAAAGAAAAAAATAATTCATAAATGATTGGCCAACATATTACTTAGACGGAGTGAGATCTATATAATATAAATTATACGCGAATATTTTTAATGAAAGGACATGTTCCCTAATGATAATCAAGCTTTAAGCTTTTACAATAGATTAGAACGTGAACCTCAAAGGATACATGCACCCATGTGTCATAGATTTCCCTTGTTAAATCAAATTCTTGAACGTTTATTTGAAAGCTTTATCAAATCAAGATATTTTATAGAGTAAAAAAATTGAAAATTTCATTCTAAACTACTTAACAATCTAATGATTAGTACTAGTGAAAATCAATAGTAGTGCTTGAAAGTAAGAAGCGAATAAATTCAATAAAGAAAGCAACAAGTTAACACGAAAAGCATAGTGTGATTATTACTTGTCATTACCGATAAACTGTCGCCGAGAATATTTGCTGTCATGAAAAGAAAAAAAAATAATTTGCATATGTAGATTTATATTTTTTTTTGCTGTAATTCTTAATTAAACAAATAAAGGAAAGAAGAATTTACTTTCTGACAGGTTTTTCTTTTTTTTTCTGATTATCATCATTCATTAATACTATTATCGAATGGTTTTATTAACTTAAATATTTTTGTAAAATAAATCGTCCTTGACATTGATCTTGTCCCCAACACAATTGAATCCATCATAGTTTTTCATTTATTTCTGATTTTCTTCCGTCTATACACAAAGAAAAACAATAAATATCGAAATAAAATCAAATGATTTCGATTAAGATTCTTTCAAACCTTCAGTAGGATGTTCATTTTGTAATATTTTCATATCAGGTTGTCATTTTTTCAATTAAAACACGAATTATATCAATTGCTATAGCTTTATTTGCTACTCGTATATATTTTTATTTTATTTTATTACGTGTATCTTGAAAATACAAATGCGTAACACCATATAAAGCAAAAACTTCATTTGGTTCATCGATTTTAAATAAATCAAGTCGAGTTAAATTTCATTCAATGAATAAGAATTAACACGTCTGTACGATTTTTGTTTGGTAATACATTTATATTTATGGCATAATGAAAAAGTAGGAAGCATCTATACATTAGTCTTTGACACGGTCAACCATTAATAATAGAAAAAGAAAAGATCTTTATCGTATTTAACGAAAATAGAAAACATATTCGTTGGATCGAATAATTCAATGAAAGAATAAAACAAAGACCAATATGGTGAATGATTAAATCAATGAAAATGAATCGTTCGAATCAAAGACAACAACAAGAGGTCGCTTTTTTGTGGTTTTCATTTCAGTAGAAGTCTAGTATTTGAAATATCATTGAGTTATGTAAACATATGAGAAAATCTATTTATTATTGAAAAATATTTGAAATGAATAGAAATATTTTTTTCTATTGGTTTAATACTAAGAACAAAAGATGTATAGGTGAAAAATTTTTTTTTTTGTTATTCAATTTGAATATTCAACAATCAACACGTTTCGAAATAGTAAGTCATTCGTTTTTTTTTTCATGTGTTCAAAAAAGAAGGATATTCATTGTATAAAAATGAGCATGTTTCTCTATGTACTAAGAATGTGTAATAAATTTCGATAAAGACCTAACCGGGGACTTCTATGTGTCTATTATACAAATACTATTTCAGTATTCGTTTAATAGGTATTTAATTGTGTTTCATTGTTTGCTATGATGGCACTAAAGCTGATATTTCTGATTATCACAAAAGTGTTTCACCTTCAGATATTCTAGGAACTGTTCAAATATGATATTATCCATGATAGTTTAATTAATGTTCCTCATAAAGTCAAAAAATGGACGTCACACCTTTTTTATGTTTCCGTCTTTCTATAGAAATATCAGTTTCAGTAAAAGACTTCAGAAAAAAAAATATACATATGTAGGATTTCGCATATTTATTAGAATATTAAGAAACAAACGCATAAACAATATTTAAAAAGTTTGTTTTGTATGATAACGTCGAAATATCATCGAGAATCGATAGAAATATAGATTTATATATAGAGCGGTATCGAAACTCGACAGCAGCGTAGCCCGGATTTTTAGATCAATGGGCAAACTTCTCTTGTATCATAAAAAACCAACGAGCGAAATGAGCAAGTTTTTTATTGATAGACCAAAACTTTTTTGACCCAACAAAGTAATAATAACGTAAAAAAAAACATGCATGAGTTAGTGTCGAGGATTCTTCAAATATGTATCTGTGCAGGACACATGGACACTTTCTCTACGAACTACGTCATTTCATATCTTGATTTTTTTCTTTATGTTTCCAGGATTTTTCCTTTCTCTTCTATGCGGCACTCTCTATGTATCTATAGCTATAAATATATATGTTCATGTGTGTTATCTTAATCTGTGCTCTTGTTTCTCTTCTCTTTGATCTATCCTTCTCTACCTTTACGTGGTTAGTGTTTTTCCAATAAAACCGAACTCATGTTCACTCGAACTTATATTTAAAATCAGGGTTGTCAGATCTTCTGAAAAGTCAGGAGAATTTCTGAAATTTGAACATTTTTCCGATTTTTTTTCTGATTTTGGTACGTTTTCCTGATTTGTTGCCGAATTTCAAACGTTTTTAGATGTTTCTTATTCTTTTGTAGTTTCTGAGTTCTGCAATCACTGGCGAGTGCTTCAATACATCAGTAAAATTTTGCGTTGCTGAACTTAAGAATGAATGCTAATTATTTTTGTTTGAACGATTTTGTAAACATATTTTAGTTCAAAAACATGTATTGAAGGAATTTTGAACAAAGAAAAACTTGAAAAATAATATGAAATTTATGTTCTACAATCTTTATTATTTTTCGTACACAGAGTTTTGGGCTTCTGTTAAAGTTCGTGCTCATGAAGAGCGACGAACACGGTTAAAGATGTATGTGTTTTCTTCTCTCTGTGTTTATTCTTTGAGAAAACAAACATTTATATATGCACATGAAAAAACAAGGACAAAATAGAAAAGAATATGAAGGTTAATTAAGGACAAAGAAAAGCAATAGAAACGAAAATATCAAAGAAAAGAGAATAGACAGAATCAAGGTATATGTTACAAAAATGCACTGTAACAACTTCGTAAAAGAATTCGATACTAGGTTTCTTTTACTAGCTCTTTTTGTATTAACTAACAATTGAAGTCCATGGAACGACGAATTAAGGAGATTGCTCATAATTGAATCAAATGAATGCTCTCACTCACAGACCAACTAGTTTAAAACATGAACTCCCAATAGCGTATACAAACCGAGATGTTTAAATTTTAAGATATTTATAGTTTGTCATGTGCCCACACAACGAAATTTTATCAACTTTTAGTTTTCTTTTTTCGTCATGGTTGGATGGAATACGACTATTTACATAAGGAGAAGGAATGCCATACACATTCAAAAGCAGTTTGACAGTAATTAAAATTTTTTTGTTTATTAATTTTATAATTAAAAAAAAATGTTGTCTTACACTTCGTAGAATCTGCTTTTTAATATGCTTGATATTATTTTTTCTTATATAAAGTGGCCCTGCTTCTTCCAACCATGGCAAAAAAAGGAAAACGAAAGGTTAATGAAATTTTTTATTGTGAGTACATAACAAACCGTAAACTTCTTGAAACTCGAATAATTCGGTGTGTATACGCTATTGACAGCTCATATTTTTAACTAATTGGTTTGACAGTGAGAGTATTCATTTGATCCCACTATGATCAATCTCCTCAGCTTACAGTACACGGTCTTTTACTCTAAGCTATATAATAGTTGTGTTGTCTTTCTTTACTATGGAATACTTTTGAAAACAAAGTATGAGTCAATAAACAAAAAAAAAAGTGAAGTCTTTTGTGCCAGTATGTCAACATGATAGTCGTCGGTTTGCCAAAAGTTACTCTTTCTGATGAGTTTCGGATTTCGAAAAAAAATTCTGATTTTTAAGTTTTTCATCTAGCAGCCCTGATGAAAATACCAGAAGCAATTCTTTTCTTCATTCTTCACAGAAAGAACAAGCAAAAAGTGCATATGTGATTCGGACAGAAGAAAATAAATAGATTTACTATCTAATTCAAAAATAAATAAACAATTCTGAAAAAGTACAATTTCAATGGGCAAAAATTTACTAATAAAAATTACAATAGGCAATTGCCAATTTGCTTCTCTCTTGGCTACGCCGCTGAAACTCGACTAGATGTGAATCTAATAAGGTTTATCCATGTATTATTCTTAGAACTTTGTTTTTACGTGCCATCATAATGATTCGATAAGTTGAGTATGACAGCCAATGTTTGAATCAATAAAATTTTGCGGAACATGGATGCTCTCTTCACTCGCATCCTAATTTCTTTCAATTAGTAGTGATTTAGCTTCTGTGATTTATTAGAAAAAAGATTCAAATAGGATAAAAATTAATCATCTAATATGTTAACAGTTTCTATAGTATCAGAAGATAGAATCTTTTTTGATAATGTGGAAAATCAATTTTAATGTTTCCACAGATTCACTGTGTAGCACTTGCTAAACAAATACCTACTATGTCAAATCGCAGTTACTTTTTTTTTTGTTTTAGCTAACGAGAAATTATTTATCTTTATGTATATTTAGGTTTGATTGGACACCGTAAAGCTTAAATAATGTCATCATCGAACAAAAAATTTACTGTGAGTATTTTAAGTCTTCAAATTCATTCAATATTATGTTTTTCCTTTCTTTAGATTGCTGTTGAAGGAAATATTGGTTCAGGGTAAGATCAATTGTAAAGTTTCAGTGTTTAAATTTTTTCTAGAAATAAGATTTGTTTTGATATTTAGAAAGAGTAGTGTGCTTGCTCATCTAGCTAACTCTTCATTATGTGATGTAATAACTCATGGTTTAATTTATAAAGTATATCTTTCTATTAAACTTAGGTTGTTGCTGAACCAATTGATAATTGGACAAATTTGAAAGGACATAATATTTTAGTAAGTATAAAGTTTAGAATAAAATTTTTTCGATTATATTCATCTAGGCGATGCTTTATGATGATCCACATCGATGGGGTTTTGCTTTTCAAGCTAATGCACAGATGACATTAGCAAAATTACATGCAAGACCTACTAAAGCACCTGTTAAAGTTATGGAAAGATCGATTTATAGTGCTCGATATTGTTTTGTTGAAAATTTATATCGCAGGTAGAATTTCTTTTAGGGGGGCCCCTCCTCAGAAAAGTGAATTTTGGTCAAATTTATCGATTTTGTGATTTATAACTCATTAGATAGAGCAAAGTGTCTACTCTCGAATGCACTATAGTTGATTGATTTTATGATGAGATTTAAGGATATTACATAGATTTTTCTGAACCCCCCTATTGAGAAAAATAAGGTTTTTAAAAACTTATTCTCCGTTTTTCTCAAAATCAATTTTTTCGAGCATATCGTTTACGCGGGCAAACCTTACTCAATAACGACTCAATATAAAAGTGGTAATGTTTTTTTGTTATAGAGCAGACACTTGGGGCTAGGTCGTAATAGAGCCCGATTTTTGAATTTCTCCTTTGTTTAAATAAAAAACTTGGATCTTTAATTTTAATTAGCGATTTTTTGGCCACGAATTTGAGAATTTTTCGAAAATGTTTTTTTAAAAACCAAACAAAGGGAAATTAAAAAATCGGGCTCTATTACGACCTAGCCCTTGGGGCACTCTACAATTTAAAAACCACGCCGACATGCTTAGCTAGTATCCTCATGTGGAAAATCTTGCCCGCGTAAAGGGTTTTTTGACTAATGAATTGACTATAACTCGTGAATGGCTTGCAGATTTCCGGAGATATTTTAACCATAATCTATTCTAGCAAAGACTAACATTCTCTGAAATTTTGGTTGAAATCGTATGAAAAATAACAAAGTTAGTTTCTGAGGGGGGGCCTCCCTTAAATGAAGTCGAAAAAAAACAGTTTTTTTCTTTTTTTTTTTATCAAGCAAAATTATTCAAGGTGTTGAATATGAAATTTTGAATGATTGGTTTGAAATGCTTATTGCGAATGGTTCATGTCATCTTGATCTTATCAGTAAGTATTATTTCACTAATTGTTTAAGAAAAAAAAAAAAGAATTTTCTTTTTTAAATGTGAATAGTTTATCTGCGAGCTACACCCGAAACATGTCTTCAACGTATTCAAGCACGTCATCGATCAGAAGAAGAATCTATTAGTCTTGATTATTTACAAACATTACATGAACGTCATGAAGAATGGCTTATTCATCGAAATTCTACAAATTTATCAATTCCTATACTTATTGTTGATGCCAATCAAACAAAGGAACGTGTTTATAATGATACTAATACTCATGTTGAAAATCTTATTTCTTGTTAAATTAATGTATTTTTTTTTTCGAATAATATGTGTTTGAAAATAATGTGTGCTTACTTATGTAAATAAAAGAAATAATGATAAAAAACAAAAAATTCGAATTTGTTTTGTGTTCTTTTTCTCATTTAATATTGCATTAGATAATGTTTATTTGTTAATTTTCATTTGTGAAAAAGCAATAGTGCAACGAAAAATATTCTGTATCTAGTATTTTAATAAAATAAAATTGCTGAAATAGAAAATAAAAAAGAAGAGATAATTAGATTAGATAAAATAATATCGTTGTCATATAATATAAGATTTGACTCGGGAATCTTCCGAAATCGGTAGGATTCGAAGGAAAGGGGAATCAACAACCTAGAAAAAAACAATAAAACGCTCGAACTTTGTTAGCGAAAAACGAAAATTTTTCAAGATAGAGAGATCATCCCATCGACTCCATCTGCCTCTTGGGACAATCCTGAGTTGACTATTTTCTTTTTCAAAATATTGATAAAATTTTGAATGTTTTGAAAATGTCTTCCTTCAACAAATATTAATCATTCTCTTTTTCATACCATAATTTATTTAATATATCGTTGCACTGCGAAAATAACATGAACGGATAATCGTATCGATTATTTTTGTTCTTGTGTTTTCGTGTTACATTATTGGTTATTTGTGATAAAGGACATAGTCGAAAATCATAAATTTTTTTCTCACTCTGGAAACACTATAAAATGAAAGTATCTCAATAGTACATCACTACTCTGATATCAATTTTCAAAGACCTCGTCCTTTTTGAGAACAAAAACTTTAGAAATCTCAGAAATTCTCGTTTTTTCTTGAGAAAATATCAGACAGTTATGATTAACTAAGGCAAAATATTTAAAGAGTATTTTTCAACAAATTATAATTGCATTCAAGATAGATTTATTATCTGATGACTTCATTCTAACTCAAACAGATAGTTTTCATTTCAGAATACATTTCTTCACATATAATGTATTAACTTGAGTTAAAATGAAGTCATCAGATAATAAATCTATCTTGAATGCAATTATAATTTGTTGAAAAATACTCTTTAAATATTTTGCCTTAGTTAATTGCAATTGTTTGATATTTTCTCAAGAAAACACGAGAATTTCTGAGATTTCTAAAGTTTTTGTCCTCAAAAGGGACGAGATCTTTGAAAATCAATATCAGAGTAGTGGTATAGTATTGAGATACTTTCATTTTGTATTGTTTCCAGAGTGAGGAGAATTTATGATTTTCGATCATGTCCTTTTAGAAATTTTGAGCCGACACATTAGTGACAGTATATGTTTAATTTTTGATATTAAAAGAAAGATCAAAGAGATTATCCGAACAAACTAAAAGAGTTTAGAAAAAAAAATGAAAAAGAGAAATCGCATTTTCAATCATTATATCTCGAAAAAACTATTTTGTTCAGGTTTGATTCTTGCGTCAAATAGACAAGTTACAACACCACTAGAGCAAACAACATCAGCTCATTGAATCTAATCGAATGATTGGTAAGTCAATAATATTCTAATTGATTGATGTATCATTATTCTTTAATTCAGGTTCAACAACAGCTTTTTCAGTGCAAACATACTCTACATTTTTTCTTATGTTGTTTTGCAGCAATTTTATACATATGGACTTGGTCTCATGTTTTCTTATGTTATTAATCCCATCGTCTAAAACAAGTTATGTTATCTTTCTCACATACAAAAGGTAATATCACTATTGAAAAGACTCTTATCGGCTCGTATTATTATGAAAAATTGAAGATAAATAGACCTGTAATCCAGACCTTTAGCTAACATTCTTTTTATTTTCTTATCCAATCAATAGGCAGATATCAATACAATGCATCAACAGCTATTACTCTCTGTTCTAAGTCTGGTCGTATTCGGAATAAGTTTCACTTGGGCAGCTAATTGGGCAGTACTTGTAGCTGGTTCTCGCGATTGGGTGAACTATCGTCATCAAGCTGATGTATGTCATGCTTATCAAATTCTACATAGAAATGGTATTCCTGATTCAAATATTATTGTCATGATGTACGATGATTTAGTTCATCATTGGCGGTAAGTTGAATACTTTTGTCAATGCGTATATTTTCAATTCGTTTATTTTTTTTTTGTTCCAGAAATCCGACAAAAGGTATCATTATTAATCATCCTAAAGGAGAAGATGTTTACCATGGAGTACCTCATGACTACACTGGCAAAGTAACATAAAAGGATTGATTCTTTATTGATTTAATAATATTTTACAATAGGATGTGACGCCAGATAATTTCATTAATGTCTTGCTTGGTAATAAAGAAGCAATGCGAAATATTGGTAGTGGCAAAGTGCTTGAAAGGTAAGAAACAATCATAATTTTTTACATTGTTGTTATATCACTTCATTTGTAGTGGTCCCGATGATAATGTTTTTATCTATTATACTGATCATGGTGCTGTTGGTAAGTTATGTTATTTTTATTCTGATTCTAAGCATGAATTGTTTTGTTTGAATAGGTTTAGTTGCCTTTCCATCTGGTGTGGTATGTTCATATTTGGAAATTAATTTTTAAACAGCATATTTCTTCTCGTAGCTTTATGCTAAAGACTTAAATCAAACAATTACTAAGATGTATAATCAAAAGAAATATAAACAAGTAAGTGTGTTATATCTATCTTAGAAAAAAAAACAAGAATATAATAAAATATATGTGTTCATCTTAGATGGTTATTTATATTGAAGCTTGTGAATCTGGTTCAATGCTTGAAGATATTCTATCCGATAAAATAAATGTTTATGGAACAACAGCAGCAAATGCTCAAGAATCATCATATGCTTGTTATCATGATTTATTACGTGGTACATATTTAGGTGATGTTTATTCAGTTGTTTGGATGGAAGATTCTGATGCTGAACAAATTAATAAAGAAACATTGTATCAACAATATTTAATAACACAACAGAGAACAAATACTAGCCATGTTATGCAATATGGAGATCTTGTAAGCGAAGAAGATTTTTTATATTTTTTAAAATTCTTTCTCTTAGAATTTAGCTAAATTTCATAATGTAAGTGAATTTCAAAGTGTACAAAAATCGAATATATCCAAACATAATATTCTTATGGATCATTATAACAATTTCCTGAGAGTAAGATAGATAAATAGTTCAATCAGTCGATGAGAATTTGTTTCTTTTTTATTTTACATATAGCGCGATGCTGTACGTACTGAAGATGTCCGTATTGAAATTATTAAACATCGTTTAGCAGTTGCTAAAGAGAATTCAATTGAGGAAAAAGAATTACAAAATGAACTTGCTCAATTATACAATGTATATCAGACTATCCTTTCTTTTTTTTTGTTTTAATAAAAACACATAATTTATTTTATTTAGGATCGAAATATAATTTTCAATAGTATGTATCAAATAGCTTCAATAGTATTATCATTAAATCGTGGAAATTATTTGGAAATGATTATACAAGAACGTATGAAATTGACTCAACATGATTGTTATAAATCTGTTACACAACATATTCATAAAAAATGTTTCAATCTTCAGGTTTGTTAATATTTACTTTTCAAATCTTCGTTGATTTCATTTATTTTTGATTTAGAATGAATTTGTTCTTAATAAACTTTATATCATGGCTAATTTGTGTGAAATAGGTTTGTTTGATTTCACTATAAATCAAGCTGTTAATCAAGTATGCAAGAATCGACTTCATTTTAATTATTAAATTATTTGATTGCTTATGTCTTTTATCGAGTTTTATTTTCAAATAAATACACTTATAATAAGAAGTATTTATGAAGTAAATGTTCAACTAAGAAATTAAGAATAAAACTACAATGGAGCTAATCTAAAATATTTGTTTGATTCATTTTAATTACACTGAAAACATTTTTCATGACGTAGCAATGAATTTTAATGTGTGTTTTATTGCTTCGAATAATAGTTCTTTGAAATATGATATATGTTTGAATATTACCTTGTTTCTATAATGAAACTTTTCGAAAATAATACCGACTCCTAAATCATATATGCCATAATTGAAACTAAAATCATAAAAAGTGTATATTTTCAGTTAATTCTAATTGGTTCCATACCAATTAGAAAGATTCAAATACATTCTCGAAGCAAAATTCGAACGTCAACGTATTGTTTCGATTTATTGATCGAATCAAGCTAGAGAAAATATTTCTAAGTTGTTGTTTCTCAATTTGGATATCGTGGAGGATATCCTTAACCTCATTTTATCTTATCATTCAATATATTTTCGTGGTTGTCAGCATTAAAAAAATATATTTCACTGTAAAGAGTAAGATATTTAATATATGCTTTATATTTTTCCAAAACAAAGTGTTTTATCATCTTTTTTAAGTCATTCTATGCTCATTCCGCATACTCATGTTCTTAAGAATGGGTAAGTTAAGTGCGTATTTCAAGTGAGAAATCATGGACAATTTTAATTTTTGTTTATTCTGCTGTGGCCCACTCAAATATTCAGTTGATATCTTTCTATGTATTCTGAGCAACAATCGAAAGCAAGTCATATGCTCTTTACTGGTAGAATAACATCAAAATTCGACCCAACATTTTCTCGAATATAACGCCAAATTATATTGGAAAGCATCAGAAATTCGTAGAACAAATTATCTACATAAATTAGTCCTTCGTAATAGTATTAACTTATGTACAAACGGTATCGACTTATTTTTTTCAAAGGTTTCAATAGTTATTCTGATAGTAAAACTTGATTGATTTCTACTAAAGAATATTATTTATAATGAAGTACATTTCTGATAAAATGAGTTTTATTTTGTTTTTAACATATTATTGGACGAAGAATATCAACCATTAACCTACTTACTGTATAACATAGAGTGTAGTTTTAAGACAGTTTCAGCAAAAAACTCTTTAGTTGGTCATTGATGTCTGTCTGAAGATCAGATATGATTGTAAGTGTAAGACTAATTTGGCTCAGAGTTCTTTGATTCATTATTTTTTGAAATAGCTAGACATTACGACTAACCACAGTAGAGATAAGAACTGTTGGATTATCTGCTCTAAATATAAAAAATTCCATGGTTAACTACAGAATTTAAAGGAAAAAACGGTCAATTTTAAATTAGTTCACCTATTACTTAAACTTTCTAACACAATAAATTACCAGAATTCATTCTGCAGCAAAATAAAATGTAAATATCATGTATATCTTCTGTACATATGTCTGAAGTTTTCATTAAAATTCTCTACAATTATTCCTATTTGCAATAAAAAAAAACAGAAGTGCCTCACTTTGTTCTACATACAAATGCGTCGCTGAAATTCTTCTGACTTTTACAAATGACAAAAGCACAGCATACTTATTCTATTTAAATCGTATAGAATAATTGTGTCGATAATTATATCATTCTCTTACGCGACATCACTCTAGCATAATATACGTAGTTGTCTTCAGTTTACCGTATCTCTTCAAAACTTCAGACGTTTTTCAATCTTGTATGATTGGTTAGAGCATTGATTACTTTATTAAACTGTGTACTTTTAATTTGATGAATTTCACATCTTAGTCAAAAATTTAATCGATTTTGAAAAGCAGCTAAAAAAATACTTTTGTCTTCTAGGAGTGTCGGGATTTTTCTCGATTAATTATAACCTACTGAACCAAAAAAACTTTTGCATTTTTTTTTATTGCATTAGATTTTTTCCTCATCTTAACTGAAAATTTAGTGAACTTCTAAAAATTTCGCAGAATTTTCAGTTTTTTTTCCTCAGGTAGATTATGGTTGGCTAAACATATAAAAATCTTTTTTAATAATATATGGTTCGCTAGAGCATTGCTTTTTCTATCAATTTATTTAATTTTAGTCTGACTTAGCTGGTATCTTATAGATAAATTTCAGATTATGCGAATAGCACTACAAGTCTGGTTTTTTTTCATTAGTACAAAATTGCCTAAAACTTCAACAGTAAAATTAAATTTTCTTCTTAAATACAAAATGGTTTCATTCAGTACTTTCTACAAGTTTAATGGTTCTCTTTAAGCATAAGACCATTTTCGCGAAAATTGGGTTCAATCTCACTGAGACATGAGCATGAAAAAGTTTTTTTAAAGGTTTTCGAAATTTATTGTTTGTTCAAGATGCGAAATCAATCAAATTCAAATTATACCATTCGATAGAATAATCAATGATCTATCCAATCATACAAAAAGAGAAAGCGTTCAAAGTTTTGGAGAAATGCAGTAAATTGAAAAAAACTAATAAAAATAAGTGAATCATGTTGTATATAAATAATCTTTCAAATCATTGACAAAAATTCTATATATTCTTCTGATTGTTATATAAAATCATCTTTTTGACATTGAAGATATACATTATCATTTTCTAATTTACAGTAGATAGAACAAGAATATAAATAAAATATGCATAATTATTACTATTTTATAAATAACAAGTTATTCTTTCCATGATTTGATCAATTGAACATAACAAGCAAATAAATCATCACCTTTCAAGATAGATATTTGTTTATTGTACATATTCAAAAGTAATATCATCATACAAGTTCATTGACACAAGTAGTTATTTCATATATGTACGTATATTGTAAAGTTTCTGAATTTAGAATTAAGGAAAAACATAGAAAACAGTTATGTTTTGCATTTAAAATCCTTCTTGTTTCGAGCTTTCTTGAAAACGACTTGACGAAAATTTGTGAATCTTTCAAAGTAGATACATCTTGATAAGTAGAATAATAGTTGTCATAGACTCTAACTCTCAAAATGTTTCTTTCTCGAAGACTCACAAGGATTAAAAATGACCTGAAATTCTTTCTCCTTTCCCTACAGAAATCTATACGATGCTTTTAGAATTGAAATTATTATCGTTGCAATTATGATCAAATCTAGATGTGTATTATTTTTTCTTCAAGAAAGAAACATTGCCCCTGAGATTCAAGTGAATCAAAATACTGAAGACACTATTACAAACAACGTTTTTATTTTTGAAGAGAGAAAGTTTCAAATTCTGTTTTTAAAACAATTGAAAATTTTCGATTGGGAAAGGAAACGGAGGATCTCTTGCAATATTCCATTAGAACAAAGATCAGTGTAGCATTTTCAGTACCAATAATTCATTTTATGATGTTTATGTTATCATCAATTTTATTAGTTAAAATGGAAAATAAATAGAGTTTATTAAGATATTAAAATATAATTTTTATTGCAAAGCTGAAGTTTTTTCTATTGAAACAAAAGAAAAAATTCAATCGTATGTTGTGTCACGCCTTACAATAATACTTAATTGACATTTTTCATAAGTTTTCGTTACTGCATTTTGTTACAAGAGAAAATACTTTTTATTCACTTTCGTCGTCATTTTTCCATCAAAAATTGATTTTCAGGTGTATAGAAAGGTATTGTTTTTCCAAGTACAAGTCGTATTCCATCAACCAATCGACACCAATTTGATGTTAATGTACCAACATGTAAATCTGCATTAGCTTCAATAAATAAATCACTAAGAAATTCTAATATAATTTTTCCACGTTGTTCTCTCATCATACCAATTAATGATCCAAAAACAACATTTCTTTGCACTGTTATTTTTAATAATTTATAATAATCTTGTTTTTCTTTATTGATTTGAGCAAATTCGTCGAATACTTGTTCATCTTCGGAATTAATATAAACTGTGCTTATATTCGCTCGTCGAACATCAGCATCAAATAAATCAAAATATTGTTTAAGTGTATATGCTTGAGACATTTCTCTATTTTGAACTTTATCTGATCGACGCACATATACAGCAATATATGGATGATGAAGATCAATTGAAGGTGGTTTAAAATATTGTGCTATAATGTTCTGTGCATAAGCTAATGTTTCGGGTTTATATCGCATTAAATAAAAGAATAATTGTGCACGATACCAATTAAAAGTTCGTTTTTGAAATATAAATGGATGAATGGGTTTCGACCAATAACCAATATTAGCATTGATTTTAATTGTTTGATTCCTATCGACTTTGGATGGAATTGAACAATTAGTTATAGGAAGAAAAACACAATCGGGAGTGCTTGAATTACAAGTTCCGTAAAGCTAAAATAAAATCAATTATTAAGAATAAATAGTTATTTCATTAGCAACTTTTAGAAATTTTCTGAAGATCCTAATATACATTTCGATATCGATTAGAAGAAGATAAAAATGAAAATTTATTCTTCTGGACTGTATAACTTTATGGAGCTTTGGCTAGAATGTGTTATACATACTATTAAAAAATAAGTTCGAAGTTTTGAATAATTTGAAAAATGAAAAGAAATTCATGATTAATATAACGCAAGAAACAAACTATATTGTCGAGGTTTTATTTCAATGAAATCAATCTACTTTACCCAATTTCCGGGAATTTGATATACAGCAATTCTATTATCCGCTATTGCTTTACCAAATGCCCATGCAATCTGATGCATAGTTGATCCAAAACCGGACACAGCAAAATTGTGAATAATAGCAAAACGCTTATTTGTACAATCCATTGGATGTTGATGTTCATAAAGCCACTTTTGAGCTTGTAATGTATTCTGTATTGAAAATTCATTTGCTGATGAATGATCACATGAATCAATTTTATCGATGATTGGCCCACGGGGATATTCAACAATACGACATGGTAAAAGATGTGCTAAATGAAAATAATTTTCATCAGCTAAACGCATTGACCAAAGATGTGTAGAATTGTATTCATAAGAAGATGATTTTATCGATTGTTGATTATTTGTTGACGATCTTTGATTTAATTGTATATTTGGCGACAATGCAAGATGTGTTTTACTGTTTGTTTCATTGAAACTTGAATCAAGTAGAAAATCAAATACAAAAACTAGTACGAATGAAATTAAACCAAAAATAATTTTAATAATTATTGATTGTAATGATCTGTTTCTTATGAAATATTTCATAGTGAATGATGAATCAAAGACTTATTGGAGGGAGAAAATGTTATATACTGTCATTTTTTTAATATGATTTAACCATTTTATTACTTTTAATATAATGTTTCAAAAAATTTGTCTACGTAAATTTTTATTTACATCAACAATCATGCGAATAGTATTATCTAGAAAATACTAAGAACATTTGATATTAACATTGAAAAAATCGAATTTTTACAAAAATAAGATACTTTACAACATGGCCTTGAAAGTTCTTTTCCGCTAATGAAAAAAACTTGAAACCGTTAATTTTTCTAGCATAATAGTACTATACATCTACAGTTAATAAAATAAATGATCTAATGTCGGATTTTTTAAAATTACCAACGACTATTTTCTGAATAACTTTTCAACAGTTCAGGTTATAGAGCTCGGGTCTTCACCGTTAGAAAGAGCAAGGCGGGGGACGTCGATCCGTATAAAATTCATTAGGTTTATGAGTCTTTTATATGGTTGTTTGCAGTCAAATATCTTATCAGTTGTCTATTTTCATGAGTTTTCATGACAAGTTAACATCTAGGCATGCACCAAACCCGAATGGTTTGGGTTTGGTGAGTTTGGGTATTAGGTTTGGTTTGGGTTTGGGTTTGAGTATGGAGTTTGGATTTGGGTTTGGAGTTGTGTATTCAGTATGGGTTTCAGCTTACTACATCAACTCATTGAACTACTGGACTTTAAATGCAGTACCATTTGTGTCAAGTCTCTTCTCTATATTTAGCTATTTATTCTATATAGATACGAACAAAAGCATATTTCTATGCTTCACATTGTTAAACAGTGAAATAAAGTCATTCTGAATTCCAAACGGATAGCTTGAAGAATGGATAATTTTGCTCGGTTTGCCTATGATCTGATTGATGGAAATGGGAAATAACATTTCTCAGTGAGAGAAGTGATTGTTCGATGTTTTGTGATAGTCAAAGATTGGCTTTTAGGGAGAGGAACCCAAAACTGACCCTCATTTTCCTCGAAACCGCATTCATAGATCAAGAGCCAATAGAAATTGACGTTTTTGAGAGATAGCGGGCGTTGGGTGGTTGCCATTCGATAGTACATGGACTATACAGCAGTGTCACATATCCAGGAATTCTGGTGTGCTGTAGAAGTGCAGGAAAATGTGAAAGATGCCGCATCTCTCTCAGGTATCACGTCTCCTAGAGAAATGTTGAATCTCCTGAGGAGATGTGCTTGGAGATGTGGCATTTCCTGCCTGGATTCTTGCTGAAAAATACAAACAAAATTTTATCAGGAGATACTGTGTCTCTACCAGAGATATATCTCTCGCCGACGTCATAGGCTATAAGTCGAAAAAAGTTTTCACTGAGAGATACTTGGAAACATTGATGTCGAAAATACCCCATTTTTTGCCGAGAAGCGCTTGAAGATACAACATCTCTCGAGAAGTACCCCATCATCTTCCAATGAAATTTTTATTTCATTTTCAGCCTGAGATCCCAGCGAGAGATCCATCTCCTGCAGGAGATGCTGCATATCCGGCCACATTTCCCCAGAAGATTCGGCATCTCTAAACATATCTCTACAGCGACAATAAGAGAGGAGACACGAGCAGTTATGGATACACAGAGCCACATCTCGCAAGTGTGGATGAGGGTAAAAATACAAATACACAAGGGCAACACATACAGTCACATCTCATTAGTGTGAATGTGGAAGAAAACGTAAACCTACGTGAGAACACATATAATGTAATCGTCCATAAATAGATAGTTTGGTATTTCTCGCATTTTCCTGCACTTTTACAGCATCCCCGATTTCCTGGATATGTGCCATCTCTGTAACTACATGATTGACATACACTAAAGCACTTGTAGCTACTATGTGGTTAGCCAGGATGCACGACGTGCTCAAGTGATTTAACGGAAGGAACTCTGAGCTAGGCCGGCTTTCTGTCCAGATCTATAGCTAGTGGTAGTTGCAGAAAAAATGTCGGGACTTCGAAACTGTCTTCACACAACATCCTTTACCGAAAAAGAACTGAAAGGCAGATTATTCTTCTTCGTCTTCTTCTCCTATAGAAGTTTGAGACGATGGTCTCAATCATAGCTATATTGCCCTACAAATACATTTGAGTTTCCTTTTCTTCTCTTGTTGTTAGTCGTGCGTCATAGATTTTTTCTTTCCTGTCAGATTCGTATATTTGATGGTATATTTCCTTTCACTTATACACATATGCGATAGACATGTCTCCTCATCTTTGATCTTCTAAATTTAGCTTTGTTTTACGGATCTCTCTTTCTTCTTCGTGATCTATGGGATTTTTCTATATTATTGCTATGTATATACTTGATATATTGTTGCGACAAAGAGAAATTAAAAACAGATATAGCTAAGAAATAAATTATAAATGGAATTAAAATCTCACACTTGGGATAGAAAGCTCCGTCGAAAAGTAGTCAGAAAGTGGATGTTTGAATTTGCAGTCTGTGTGACTTGGAACACAATTTTCTATCTCGAAAGGATGAGTTTTCACATGTTGATATATTTTGCTGAGTTTCAATTCTTTGATTAAGATCCATTAATGAGACTTCTGCAGGTTTCTGATCTAATTACTTTGAGACTCTTATACCGGGTGTTCCAAAAGTTTTGCAACATTTTATATTTTGCATATATCTCGGCATAGGTAAATGATAGAACCTTGATTTTTTTAAAAAGATGCGCCTTGAAAAGCTCTACAAAAAATGTAAGAACAAATCCCTATTGACTTGTTCTGATGATGTCTCCTATACTTAAAATGAATTGGCCAGATGATGGTCCTATGTCCCATGGTATTAAGTATTTGGAAGACTATTTTTGTTTTGCAAATATTTCGCCTTGAGAAAATGACAACACCTTGACTTTTTTCAAAAGATGCGCCGTAAAAAACTCTACAAAAACTGTAAGAACAAATCCCTATTGACTTCGTCAAATATTGTCTCCAATACTCAAAATGAACAGGTCACATGACGGTGTTATGTCCCACCGTAATTAGTATAACAACAATATTTGGGAGACTTCTTTTTATTTTGCGAATATCTCGACTTAGGAAAATGATAACGTCTTGATCTTTTTTTCCAAAGATGCGCCGTCGAAAGCTCTACAAAATCTGTATAAGCAAGTTCCTATTGCGAAACAAAAATAGTCTTCCAAATACTTAATACCATGGGACATAGGACCATCATCTGACCTATTCATTTTAAGTATAGGAGACATCATCAGAACAAGTCAATAGGGATTTGTTCTTACATTTTTTGTAGAGCTTTTCAAGGCGCATCTTTTTAAAAAAATCAAGGTTCTATCATTTACCTATGCCGAGATATATGCAAAATACAAAATGTTGCAAAACTTTTGGAACACCCGGCATATATATATATTGTTTGATTACTCAGATTTGTTCGCTATGTGGCTATGAATCTATCAAGCTTCTGAATCTTGGAAGTTAAGCCAATGAAGGTGTGAATGTGGATGTTGGAAAACGTGAATAAGCATAGCAATGTGGGTGTGGATGTGTATTTGCATCACAACTGCTAACCATGCACATTCTTAGTCTAGGTTTATCCCTATGGAACCGTTTTTCGAAAACATCGTTTTCTAATGGTTTTGGACCCGCTGATTAGTGTACTGCGTGAATCACGAATCACGCTCATGCGTGAGCGTGATCGTGATCGTGATGGAGACCAACATCTCGTGATTCACGACTATAGTAAAGGATGCGGTGGAATAAATGGGCGATTTGTATTTTATTGTTATTTCGATAAGTTTTAATTGTTGAGATCTTATTATTTTTCCAAAAAATTTGCCGTAGAATTCTGCACAATGTGGTATAATCTAATTAACTAATAGATTTTTTTTCTTTCTAGAGCACAACTGTTTTCAACAACAAGACTTGAACAACTTTCTAAATCTGGATATTTTTCAGAGAAAGTTTTTCATTCTTTAATCTAGGGGTGGTACTTTACTTTTACTTTATAAAATAAAGATAAATGAATCCTTTACTCTTAAAAAATAAAGATAAATGGATCCTTTATTTTTAAAAAATAAAGATAAATGATCATTGATTTTTAAAAAATAAAGTTAAATAAATAAAGGAATACTTTATTTTTAAAAAATAAATGTAAATGAATCGTTTATTTTTAAAAATAAATGGAAAATAAATGAATAAATGATACTTTTTACGATGACAGATAATGTAATTGGAAGAGCACTAGGATCATGAAATAAATCTGCAGAGAGATTATTACGATTTAAAAATGTAAATTTGATTTAAAACACATTTCCTGAGATGAAATTCAAAAATAACAGAAATGAAAGCTTTATTTCTGATTTTTTAGGGTATTAAGAAAGAGGAAAAGCTTCTTGTAACTTTCTAATGAGATCTAAAGCTTTCTATGTATTCAAACATCTTTGTGAAGCTTCATTTCAGAATCATAGAATATCTCCATTGGATCGATTATCACTCAATCTTCATATTTCTAAATAGAATTTCTTCATAATTTTGAATCTCACTTCTAATTATCCTCAACCTTACCCAAAATACTCTATATATACCCTTAACCTCAGAAAGAATTATAAGCAATAGCATAAGTTTTGTGTATTTCGTGGCATATCTGCTTGTTTGTGTGAACTGACAAGGAAGTATACATTTGTGAGATTTCTAAGAAGCTATTAAATTAAGCCCTCTCTATCCCGAAAATTTAGTCAGTCACATATTTTCATCATCTAATTCTTATCGCATTTAGCTGGTTGAGGATAAGAATCTAACTTTTGGAACTCGGGAGTTGGGATTCGCTATAAATATTGGCGTTATGAACGTGAGAAGGATGCATAGTGTCATGACTCTTTCTATGTGTTTGGAAAGGAGTGTGAGTATGTAGCTGATGGAAGAAAACGTGATCGTACACTTGAAGACATTCACTGGAAAAAACAAATACGAACCAGTTTTTAACAATCATTCACACACTCATCATAAA